GAGAAAAAAATTCAATGAAATAATAAGAGAGGTGACTGGTTTTATAAAAACAAAATAAAACTAATAAGCTCAAACATAATGTCTGCATGAATTCACATAGTAATAAGTAGAGAAGGTTCTGTTATTACTGCATAGAGGGATGATGCCAAATATGTTAAACATGATAAATTTTCTAAGAAGTTTTGTTGTGAATCTCATTTAATTAATTTACACCCCCTTATTAACGCCCATGACTAAAGCGATAGTATTAAAATATACAATTTATTATCATTAATTTACATACTGAACGGGAATGAAGATCAATCACAAAAAATCATAAAATTAGCATCACTATTCGCGTATTAGATAACATTAAGATATGTAATCATTTTTTACATTTATGTAAACAAGTTACGATAAACTTTGCGATTACAATTTAAAAAATAATGGACATTGAACTGAAAAACATTGGTCTGAAGTATATTATTATTAATATTTTTCTTTTCATTTCTCGTCCAAGATTATCATTATAATTTTAAGAATGTATTGCCGTATATAAATATAGGTTTAGGTAGGTCAATTTAATTATTATTTATATTATATAGCTAAATCCAAATAAACATGTATTACTGTTTAAATGTTTATTATTAGTTTGATCATCGCACCACAATAATAATTCTACTAGTAGTTCATTTTATATTGTGGTATCAAATAAGCAAAATAATTTTTTGGAAATTTTTCGAGCTGAGGCAATTAATATTTTTAGAATAAAACCGGCCTAACAAGTTTGATTCAATTTAAATAATCAATTTATGGTTGAAAAAAGAGTAACATAAAATTTGAATAATTAAATAGTATTAAAATAAAATTTCAAATATATAAAATCAGTATAGGTTGAATGTTTTACTATGACTCAAACATTATTTTAAAAAATATAAAACATAATATAGTAACTATATTATGTTTTAGAAATAACTGTTATTTCTATTCAGAAGTTAATAGTATCTATACTAGTTTAATTCAATAGCTTCCAAAAAAATATTGATTTTGTCCACCCCCTATTCTTCTTAAAATTTTATGAAATTAAGTTTTTTAAAGGGATTATGTATGTTTAGACAACTTACAGACTAGAAAATAATCTATTTAAAATGATAATTCATATTGAATATTAATTATCTATATTAAAGACAGGTCAATAACAACTTTTTGACTACTATTTTAACATATATTGACATTTTTTACAACAAGGTAGTAATAGCTGGGTTCATTAATGTCTAGGGATAAAAGTTAATACCGCGCTTCACTGTCTTTATATTAAAGTGTTAACAAATTTCAAAATACTAGTTCAAAAGTTGTTATTAATAAGTCATTTTTTTGGATAGATCATTTTCTAGTTTGGAAAAAATATGTTCCATTAAAAAAACTATAGTAGCTAAAAGTTTAGGGGAAATAGGGCAAACAGGAACAAATTTTTTGAAAGTTATAGAACATAGTGTATTATTACTTTTTGAAAGGAAAATATTAACATTATATTTTATGTTTTTAAAGATATTGTGCGAGTCATAGTTAAATAATCACATTATATACAGTATGATCTATTTATCACAACCTAATCAATTATTTGCAAAATAAATAAAATACAGAAAAAAACTATTTGGTTTTCTTTAGTTACATATAATTCTTTAAATATTATTATATTATTTTTGTTTAAGTCTTAATTACTTTTTTTATCCCTTATAACTAATTGGGTTATCAACTTTATTTATTTTTTTTAATTGAAACATACATATTTAAGTAATTTATAAAATAAAAATTATTCCATTATAATAATTAAAAGTCAATAACATCTATTGCGCCAGTACTTAGGAAATTACACCAAAGGATTTTCAAATCTAGACTGAGGAGAAGCGCAATTATAACATTAGACAATTCTCGATCGTACTCTGTCTTCCGCCTAAGTATAACAATCTTAATAACTTTTGAAGTATGTCTAAAACTTGATATCAACAAGTAATTTTCTCAATTAAACCATTTCCTATTTTATAAGGTAGTTAAATACGTACGTTGCTTTTTAAAAAAATAAAGTCGACACTCCAATAAATTATAAAGGCTGTAAAAAGTAATTAATAACTGATAAAAAAAGAACTATTTGTAGCTAAAGAAAACTAAAAAATTATTTTTTCAATATTGTGTTTATTTTTCAAGTAATTGTGTGGATTATGTAACCGGATTTACCTGAATAATATAAAGAGTATTTCAGGAATATGTATACTACATATTAAGTTGTATACATATTTATATACTTACATATAATATAGATTTAATACTAATCTGTAAGCTTTAGTTTTGTTTATAAAATGCTCAAATAATTAAAATATAATCCTAAATAAAATATAAGTTACGAAAAATTGATTTTATTTTATTTAACATACAGTCTGTAAAACATTAATTCTAATAGACCTTCTAAAAAAAGAAAGATTTTTTAATTAACTCCTAAAAATATGTTTATTTAAATTAGGTTTGTATTTAAATTCACATTTAAAGTTTCTCATGATAAATAAATATTGAATTTTTAAAATTATCTTAGTCTTATAGTATTATAATTACATGTTTTATACATAACGTGTGCTCTGTGATTATTTGAACTTTTTGAAAATAATAGACATTAAATATAGAGACGTAAAGGGTATCAAAATATTACGCATTATTTTTTTAATTATTTCAATTTGAGACTTACTTTGATAATAATTTTTAAGATACGTAATTAAAACTACTTTAAAGAAGCTCTTAAGAAAGTTTACTTATATTTTGATTATACATACAATCAAAATCACTTCATGTGTATCAAATAACTGATAGTTATTACTATAATAGATTTTTATATCATAATGACTAAGTTTTAGTTGTAATAACGGCTGCTAATAAACCAGTTATTACAACAAAAAAAAAAACCGTAAATCATAATCTAGCAGTTTTATTCTTTTATAATAATTATGTAAATATAATATGATACTTATTTTGGGCATGGGTTTCTTAAAAAAATAATTTAAATAACGCTACTTTTTATTATATGTTACTGAGTCTTTATTTTATATCTTTAATTACATCTGAGATATCCCTGACATTTTTTTTTATATCATGTATTTAAAGTTTTTATAATATAAACGCTATATTAATAAAAAAAAATTATATTCAATACTATTTAATTTTAATTGATAACTATAATAAAAAATAGGTACTAGATTATTACTTAAACCCATTTTTGTAAATTTTAATTTTTTAATAATATTTCAAGGCCTCAGTTATAAAATTAATATATTGAATTTATATTGCATCAGTTAAAGAAAAAATATTAAAGTAATAATACTTAGAATGAAGCGTGGGAATACTATGATGTAGGTTATTGTTCTAAGCTTTTATCATATTAAATAACTGAAGAATTTGTATAAAATTTCTTATACAAAAAGTTTACTTAAGTAAATTTAAGTAACATTTTGTACGAGTATTTTCCTTAAAATCAATTCGACAGTTAAACGTGAAAATGAATTATGTCATAAAGAATTGATTACTATAATTTATTACTTAATGGCGATAAGATGTAATAATGATTTATCTGGCTATTTGTACAACTATGCAATACTTCATAAAGAAAAAGACAAGTGGACCTTAAACGATAAAACGTAAAATAAACATTTATAGCACCGGTAGTACATTAATGTTAACAACATTAGCAACTGACTAAAAATTGTTTTTCATATTTTTTATTTAAAATTTTATTTCTTTCAATTTAATATACATAACATATTTTTATCAATAGCAACAAGTAACACAAATAAGTAGTTAGTGTTAAATCGTTATTAAATTTTACATAGATATAATTAATATTGTATTTTATGTAAGTAATTTTTTTGCAATAATATGTGCAATTATCTCTTTGAACATTGAAAAAATCTATGTAATGAAGTACATTAATAAACATAAATTATTTTAGGTTAAAAAGAAAATCAAAAATTGTTTTACTTAATTACAATTCTAAACAGTGTTGTAACCAGTTATATTCCAGAGATACTAGAGGCTCCTAACGATTTTAAGGGTGACAATAATAACATTATCGTTGTCTAAAAATAGCTACATAGCTATTATTGAAATTGATATTTAAATTAAAATTTAGTTGAAAATCATATTTTTGTAATATGAAAATATAAAACATTTTTTTTTTCTGATTCCACTAATACTTAGAGTTCCCTTTAGAAAATTTTTCTGAATTTCCATTTTCTTCAATAGTCAAAGAATAATCAGATACGGATAGGTTTTAAAATACGTTATTTAAACAAATAATAGATGTAGAAGAAAAAACATAGGATTTATAAAATAAATTCGAGGGAAAATTATTGTGTTAGTCGTAAAGGTCATTGTATTTATTAAATGTACAAAGAATTATTAAAAATATGTAACTAAATAATGAATTAAAATAAAATACTGTTAAATTAAATGCATTTCTATTATTTAAGTATTAATAAATGTATATAAACACCTTAAACAGTTATTTAATTTATATAATATTCAATGTTAGACTACAAAATAGAATAATAATTATTTTAATATTCTGAAAAATGTATTGGTTATGCTAGTTTACTTTATAAATTAAAATCAATAGATAAAACATTTTTTTAATTATGAACAAAATACAATTTTAACTTTATTTATCTATTTTATTATATGTTTTCTAGTTGTTTGAAACCTCAGTTCATACTGTCATATTTTCTTACATTTTTATAGTAGTAGTATATATATTTTTATATTTATAGATTCTTTTACAGTTTTTGTTAATTTTTAATCAGTAAAATATTCATATGACAAAATCCAACGTTTTAACATAAATTTAAAATAATAAATTATGATTTTATGTGTATATTAAAAATATATAGATAAAATTTTAATAAAAAAAAAAAATAGAAAATGCTTGGATTAGCAGTTGTATTTCATTTATCAAAATAAAATAAAGAGAGATATTTACTTACCAAAGTGTGATGATATTCGTGGAAATCTCCTGGTAGTCTTCCATTTTCGGTATCCATTAAAATAAAGTTTTAGCTAGTTATAGATTTTCAAAAATATTTTTATGAATTTATTATGTAGATATGTCACTTCAAATTGAAATAAATACTTCTAGCAATATTAAATTATAAAATAAATAATAATTCAAACAACGATTTTTGCGAAATAATTCTCCTAATTACAAAATTGAGAATGCGCAACTTCTCTTTTCGACGATGACCACATGACTGCAAGTTAATAGTTACTCGGCTATTTTCCAGTTAGCAAATTCAAACAATAATAACGGATTACGTACTTACATATAGCACACACACTAATAACCCTACTGTTCAATGACTACCTAAAGAATAACAAGTTTAGGTAAATTCTAACGGATTTAATTGTATTTAATTAAGAAACAAAACCTGGTCCTCAAACAATAATTCCGAAACAAATTTTATGTTTTCGTTAAAATTACTGTTGGCATTGTATGAAAATGTTTTTGATAATAAGCGTGTTGTAAAAAAAAAATTGCAATTTGAACTTTTCAAAAGATAACGTAATTTAATTTTTCAAACGTGGAACGATAGGAATTATTATACTTTGAGCTATTAACAATCTACCATCCATTAAAGACAAAGAGTAGATACACAGCTCGTGCAATAGAGACATCTATAAAAAAAATATTTAAAGCGTACATAATAATAATCAATGTCAAGTAGTATTAAGTTGTAATCTAGATTTTTTTTAATTATTCGTCGGTCATATAAATTTTATACTGAAATGTTTTGTAAAAACATTAACAAATTTAAAATTATATAAATCAATAATTTTAATAAATCTTTATTTTTAATTTGTTCATCGAATTTGACATATTTCATACTAAATATATTTATTTTATTACTTACGTAATTTTTCTTAAGTAATATTCTATTTTATACATATAATAAAAATGTTAAGTTAAAATATCATAATAAACAACTTTGAATAGTTCGTTAAAAACATTTCAATCCATCGTTTGTTTTCAAATAAGTACGGTAGAGTTTTTTTTTTTATTAAGAACCGTGTTTTATTTATTTCCTTTACTCAAAATGTAATATGAAATTCCAATAATTTGTTTTATTAAAATTTTTATAGACGTTAAATGAAAAATGCTTCATTTTTCTTTGCCAAACACCTGAGCTTAATCGCCAATTTAAAAAAAAATACGCAAGAGTTAATTATTTAAAATGAAAATTCTATATTACTATGAAAGAGAAGTATCTTTATAAATTTTATTTCAAAACTGGATTAATTTAATTTATTGTAAAAAAGTTAATAATTGGAAAGGTAAATGTAGGAGTTTTTATTATAAAAATTTTTTCATACAAAATGTCTAAAATAATAATAAAAGTGTATAGTATATTAGACCAAGGGAGAAAAATTATTTTATTTTATACTAATATACTATTTATATCAATATTTTATACTTAAAATGCGTTAAGAAATAATCGCCGACATCATTTTCAGTGGTTTTCCACATTTATGGTTTTATTAGACAGTCCATTTTCAATGCCTTTACAATAAAAATTATGACAATAAATTTGTAATATTATCATAATAAAATGTGCAAAATGCGGGCATCAGTCAAATTTTTTAAAAATTAATTACCATCAGTGGCTTATTATACATTTTATTTTAAGAGAAGTTTTGCATGAATTATAACAAATTATTATCCTACTCTATATTAAATTGAAATTTAGTTATAAAAGGTTCGGATTAAAAATCGAAAACTCATTGTAAAACGTTTCTAATCTTAATTTTAACATTTAAAGTATTGTAAAATTCTACAATTTGCTATTTGGCATAATGATTGCATCACATGATTTTAAATTTATCGGTAATCATATTAAAAATTAAATTTTATTCTATGTATAATAGTTCCAAGTAGTTTTAATTGCTGCAGTAATTTAAGGTAAGTATATTCATAATGAAGCTAACCTATAGTAACCGTCTGGTTAGTAGTGGAAAGGAGTGAGGTAGGCAAACTCTCCCCTTACAACACAGTAAAGATTATATTATGAAGATATTATGTTCTTTTTAAAAATTTTAAATGAAGATTTAATGACCAAAAAAGGTTCATAAAATTAAAACTTAGGTTTTCTCAATTAAGTTTTAATTTTCTCCTTAAAGATGCTGACTCATCGTGCCTTGAATTTTTTTTCAGACGAAATTCATTAAAAATGTACGCAATTTACTTTAAATCCTAATAACTTTTATTTAAATAACATATTGTATATGTTAAAAACTTTCTGTAAAAACAATTTTTTCTTAAAATGAGAAAGTTGATTATATTGGCACACCCAAATTTATTTTTTTTATTTAGAGTAGCGTTTACAATTTGCATAAAAAGATTTTTTTGTTCTATGCTATCGTTTATAAATAGAAATATTTTGTACACCTTGAAGAGTTTTTTGTTCATTAGCGAATGACAACATAGCTGTAGTTTTATATCCTCTTACTAAATTCTGTCATTATCCATCGAACTATGGGAAATTGTTTTCTACTATTAGTTACATTTATGTGTATTTCATAATATGTAGCATTCATTATATACAAATCAAATAATAAATATGAAAATAGAACTATTATACATAAAAATAAAAAAGTAGATTCTCTGTTTTGTATCTAAAACATGATTCGACCTATTTTAATTCAGTGTTCAGACTTCCTAGTTAGTTTTTAAATAGACTCGCCGTCATCATGTAAACTAAATGTTGATTTATTTTTTTATGCTCAATTACAATTATTTAATTATTCGGGAATTCTTTTTATCGTTTAATTAATGATCATTTTACTCAATAAATATGAAACATAAAAATGATCTTTATAAAATTTGATTTTATTTTTATTTTTAAAAATCTACAATTAATAAATCATCAGATCATTAAGTAAACTATATAATTTGCAATAAAAAAATTTTACTTTAATATAATTAAGTTACCTAAATGATCTTGCAATATATTTTTTTAAGAAAGACAAAGATGAATGCTTAAATATTTTTATCCTTCCTAAATAAAATGTTATTTGGTTGTTATTACTTTTTAAGATATATTACTAATTTATTTTTATTTTATGTAATGTAAACTCTATACTTGTTATTAAGTAAATAGTGTACATAAACTAAAATTAAAAAATATTAAACTCAAAAAGCCACAAAAAAATAATCGATACGTATTTCGGGAACAGTAAAATAGTGTATTTGACACCGCCTAAAAATATGAAGATATTTTTACTAATATATATTTCTAAAATAATAAAGAACTGTTTTGCCTTAGCGTCAAATTAACATTTGGCAATTGACCACTTTCAAATACTGACACATATAACTAACGTCCTATACATCTCGTCTTTGCAAGGCATGGGCATCCGCAAATGGAATAGTTGCAGGACAGGAGCAGTTCAATATCTTTGACATTTTAATCATATCAATCTATAGTACTAAATCTAAGTAAAATGTTTATTAGTATTAAGAATGAAAAATATTTGTTCACAAAAATTAAACGATAAAATTTGTAAGATAATTAAATGTCCCAAGTTGGCCCATTTGACAGTACATCTTATATGAACATTAAGGTTCCACCAAAAATCGAATGTATTTTTATTTTTTCACGCTATCCATTAATTTTTATTTAATACTCATAACAATGAGGTATGCAAAATTTGGAATCGATCCATTATGGTTAACCCGTGCCCCCAGATTTATTAAGTTGAGTTGAAGATGCAAATTTAATAGAAATAACTGATTTATGTTCCATAACTTTTTTGTAAGCCTTAACATTTTTAGAATTTTTTCCTAAACGAATAATTAAAAATAAACAAAATCAGATAAAACATATTTTTAAGACTCTTACATGTTTTTGTGAGCTATTTATTAAGAAAACAAAATTGAAGTTATTTTTTTTTTGTTTCTTGTAAAATTTCCTTTACTTGAGTATTACTTTCAAAATTCATTAATCTCTTATTAAATTTGCCTCTTCAACTCAACTCAATAAGTCTGGAGGCACGGGTTAATCATAATGGATCGGTTCCAAATTTTGCATACCTCATTGTTATGAGTATTAAATAAAAATATATAGTAGTTACTACTACATATATACTACTACTATATTTAATAGTAGCGTGAAAAATTATAAACACATTCGATATTATGTTCATTGAACATTGCAGTTTTATTTTTTTTTGTTAAAATATAAGCCAACTAATAACGTTCCCTAAAATAAAAAATGTAAACTATAATTTGAAGAAAACTTAAAAAAAAGTATCAAAGGGCAATCCATACCTTGACACCAATTTTTTAATATTATAAAATATTAAAAATAGTCAAATCTTCAGAAAAATGAATAACTTTATTTTTTATAGAAAATATATTATAATTCAAAACTAATAGTAAAAATTGTTTGATTTTATTGAAATATTTTTTAGGTCATTTTTTTATACTACCATAAACATAGCATTAACAAATTTGATCAAACAAGTAGTTTGATTTTATTTATTAGATATTATTTTTTTTCACAATAATTTTCAAAATTGTCGGTAAAATATAAATGTTGTTTTATAAAATAAGTAATTATTAAAGTCTGACCAAAGTAGATAATGTTTAGTATCTATAAACATGATTCTTATTTCAAAGAAAAAGGGATCACATAAAATTATAAAAAAAATCACAAAATAAAACACAAATTTAAACATAAAAAAAATATATATATATATATATATGTATGTATATAAAAATATAATTAAAATATATGTAATATAAAATTTAATTGAACTATCCTAATAATAATAATGTATAACCATATCCAATTCAACTTCACTAAATAATTACAAAGATAAAATTTATCATTTCATATATTTGAATGGTTAAGTTGTGAAGTGAACTATACAATTTTTATTATAATATAATTTTAGAGAATACTACATATTAATAAAACAAAATTATGTTCAAAAAATAAGTTGATTTGCGTTTCAATATTTATTTATGGTAAAAATGTAACTAACAGTAACACTGTTAATAATAGTTAAAAATGCAATCATACAAATATTGTTTTACAATATAAAAGGCTTATATTGTGTTGTATCATAATTTATTATCACAAAAAAAAAAAAAAGAAAAAAAATTAATGAATCATATAATTATGTAGTTAATACATTTTAGTTAAAGAAATTTGTGGCTTCGATGTTTAGGATATGCTTCAATTAACTGGGAATGAAAGACCCTGGAAAAAATTATTTTAAGTAGAAATAACAATAAACACTGACAATTAAATCTAAAAAAAAGTAAAATTAAAGCTAATTAAAGTTAGTTTTACTTAAAACGTTATAAATATACACCATCATATAAATACTTAATATCATGTTTAAAATATTACTTAACTTAAATACAAATAATTTCAAAAAAATATTTTTTTTTTTTAATTTTGATATCAACAGAAACCTTTGAAAATATAAGTTAAAACTATGACTCAAGATGAAATACCATTTATACAGTAGAAATGTATTCAAATAAATCTGGGGCTATTTTCTTAAGCCTGATATTACACCATCATTATACTAGTGTAGTATCTTAAAAAACTTTTTTTAAAATAATCAAATTATAAGATTCAATCACTATTTTAATTAAATATTATTTATAGTATTTTATGATTTTACAGCTGAAATATTGTATCTACATTAAATTTAATTGAGAATATAATTTTTACTATAAGAATACATATTATTTAAATCATACTTAGACAAATTTTAAAGTCTGTTTAAATAACCAATATTTAAAAATAAGCTTCATACTTGTTGATATACCACAGAAAGGAAATATAGCTTCTTTTTTTTTACAGTATTTTTACATCAGATTTACCAACAACTCCTCAGATGCAAATTTGATATACGCAGGCGATATTGCATGTTTAGTATCAAGTAATTCCTAACACATAGCAAGCTACACTTACAAATACAATTCTCTCAAATCAAATACATGATCTTAATTTTAGATTAACGACTTGGTCGCTCCTTTTAAAAGAAAAATATAAAAGAGTAAACTGCCGACTAAGTATGCTAAGACCATTATTACTCAAAAACAAACTACTACTTTACAAAATCTTGCTAAAGACATATGATCATATGTTATTATCTGGAACTCAACGAGAAATTCTAAGATCAAAACAGTTTAAGCTTTTCAATCAATTTGTCTAAAATAATTACAAAAGCCCCATGTACATTTAATACACTTTTTTCCACTATTCTACAGAAGTTAAATCTTTTCATTCCAGATGTTACAATCACACGAGAATGAACTTGCATCTCAATTAGTAATTAAAACCTCTTAAAATGTACTAACAGAAGACTAAAAAGGAATAGGTCAAGAGATTTTTCTAAACTGATTTAATTTAATTATTTTTAGGTACCTCAGCTATGAGGTACCTTTATTATGGTATTTAAGTCTTATTTTTGTTATTAATTATTTAGATTACTTTATGTGTTGAAATGTATAACTGCAAATTTTCATTTAATAATAAAGAAAAGAAAACATATAATTCATACAGTTATTGACATTTTTTGAGTTACTACATTTAATGTGCATTAAAAGAGTAACAATAACACTACAATATGAACATTTGAGCAATTTTTTAGGAGGGAAAAAACAAATTTAAATTTTACCTGGTGTTTATTAAATATTGACATTTTTAAAAAGCAAAAAATAAATTTTTTCAATAAAATTTACTAGTAATTTTTTAGTTTATGATAAAAAATATTCTTCTCAATAAAAATGATAAAAGAAATCTTAAGAACTAATTTTTTGATTCATTAGATTTTGGTTATAAACTACAGAAATAACTTTATATCATTGATATTTTCAAAGATTAAATAAAAAAAATTTATTTACTTGATTTTTTTAAAGAAATATAAAACTATAAAATGCTTACTAATATCCCATATCTTTATAACAACTATAACCAAAGACTGCAAAAATGAAAGTAAATATGATTGATTAAAACATTTTACAGGACTAAAATCCCTGAATAATGCACTTAAAATAATTTTTATGTCTTTCAAAAAATAATATTCTGATTTAAGATTCTAGTTAATTTTTAAAAAATTATCAAAATTTGAAACGGGATCAATGTCATACCTATTTTATTAAGATACATCGATCATTAAGCTATTTTACAATAAAGGAAAAATGAATAAATTACTAAATATGTGAATTCTTAATTTTAAACTAAAGCATAAGTTAATTAATGAAGCAATTTAGTTTAATGAACACTTACAAACAATAAGGATCAATAGTATGGCCACAACAACTCCTAGAAGTATCATCATCTGTAAAAAAAAAAATATGAAAATAAATTAATTTTATTATAATTAAATTTATTAACTAATAATTACCTTTAAATTTTTCCACCACATTTTTCTTTTAAGTTTAGTTGCATGTTGTTCAAATTGTGATGCACCTTGTTGCAAGACATCTGTGAATAAAAGTATTTATATAAAAGATACACTTAATTATTTAATCTAAAATTACTTAAATGCTTTGACGATAAATATTTATGTTAATAGCTACAATAATAAACTAGACTAAACAAATGACTAACTATTAAATAATAAATGAATATAAAATTGATAATAATGATAACATTGAATAATATACGTATTATAATATTCAATACTCTAAAAGAACATTTCTAAGTTCAAACATCTAAATTTTGGTAGTAAAACTAAATTTATACTTACTTATAATATCCTACATAATTGTAAGCATAAACATTATGATAACATATATTACAAATGATTTACCAGGTTTATCAGATATCTGTTATAGTATATTATTATTCATATGTACTTTATACTAGGTTATAAAAATAATTTTTGAAACCCATAATTTTGAAGGTATTGTATAAAATAAAAATACTCAATTAATTAATTTATTTAAAATATTTATAATACTCAAATAATTACCAGCTCGATTATCCAATTCTGTGAGTTTTTGATCACGTTCCAAAACTTTTTCAACATTCACTCGCATAATTCCAACGACCTTGAAATAAATTTATACCCATTTTAATATTTTTGTTACTATTTATTTTGCATGTAAAATAAATCTTACTTCATCTACTTGAGCTTGTGATTCTTGAAGTTTCTTTTGAGAATCAGTTGGTTTTTTAGTGCCTTGTCCTCTGTCAGCCATTTCTGCAAGTAGCAAAAGTAAAGTTGGTATTTGCTATTTGACTTATAATAACTTTATAAATAATTTGATTATAGGAATACAACTTAAATCTAACAAATATATAATTAAATGTATGTTATTTTTATAGAATTTATTTCACTACACTGATAATTATTTAGAGCTTAACCTAAAATATTGTCACTAAATAAATAATTTTCATACAAAAAAAATTTAATTTAATAAATAATTTGTATTTTTAAATATTATACCATTAAAAACATTACCTTTCAGTTTTCTAATCGTACAAATTAGTAGTAAATAAAAAAATAAACAGGCGCAATGTCTTGATGTCAATGAAAATTTGAACTCAAAAAGATGTTTTGATTTTAATGAATACTGGAGTGTGGGGAATTGCTTTAATGGTCCTCTAAATACCTGTACTACCGGATTAAATATTATGTAGGTATGCACAAGCTATGGATGCAATACAACAGATGATGATGTAATCACAATAGAACGTCACAAATAGTTGATATGCTTTGAACTCAATGAAATTGTAAACGAATATAATTTACAATGTCTCTGATATTTCACTAAACACGAAAAACACCGGCTAAATAAATACTGAAGTTAGGTATGACATAGACATAGATATTTACATAAACCTGTAGTACAATATATTCATTAGACACAATTTTACTAATTACTCTATTAATACACAATGCAATCGAAACTCAAGTTAGCCAATGAATTCTATTTACTTTTATTATTTTAGCATAAGCGTTTAGTAGTATTTATGATTTAATCGTTTAAGTCATAAGTTACATAATTCTAATTGAACCTTAATTGTACTGAAATTAGTTTTTGTAATGCACCATCAATTTAACAAACAAAAACAGTAGTTAAAATAATAATCTAATTTTATCGGTGAGATTTCGACTTATTAATATTCTTCCAAAAATATTATAGTTATTTTTATCTGTGACTTGATTTTGACAATTAATGAAGTTACTTTGTTTTTATGTAGCATTAAAATTATTTAATAATTGAGTCGTTGAGATTTGTACGGTGTCTAAGAGTAATACAACGCAAATAATGATGTGGAACGAACCTTACGATTTTTACGTTTCTTTAAGATATAAAATTATATATAGACTTTTTGATTCTAAGGAAATAACTTGCAAGCAGTTCGCCTGAGGTAATAAATAATAAAAAAAAATATTTATGGTTAGTTTAATTTGTTTATTTAATACTTATTGCAAACAAGTGATTGTTGTACTGATTTTTTTATAATTGAATATAAAACATTTTATCACTTATAGTTTTAATAATAAAATGTCAAAACATTTGTCAAATGTTAAGTTACAAATACTTTTGAAACAGTTAAAATATATAAAACTATTAGCATTCATATGTATATGCTACTCTCAATATTATAATATTAAAAATATTTATGGAATCAAAATACTATGAAAAAATGTTGAACAAAAAATGTTAAAAAAAAATGGTGCTCTACAACAGTATTTGTAAAGTTATATTAAATTTAAATAATTAAAATAAAGTTTTCGCTTTTTCTTTCATACCAGTTACTACAAGTTTATTTCAAATTTAAAGGTCTGAACCTCTCGAATCTCTTCCCTCATATAGCTAGAAACCTATAAACATTGTAAATAAATTCGACTCCCCTCAAAAATGTGCTTCTATTTACACAAAATTCGGAATGTCAATTTCTTGTACAGCTTTAAAATTAGTAAGAGATAATCCTATTTAATTTGTATGGATATACCAGATTTTAAAGCAGAGCGGTAACATGAATTTAGGCAACCCTGATTTTTTCAGATTTAAATCATATCGAAGAAAAAAAAAATTGTTTATTATATGTTAGTACTTTAAATCACCACTCGACCTACATAAATATGATTATCAAAACCAGCAGCGGTCAAATAATTTTGCCATGGAAGAGAATGAAAAACTTTGTAATAGAAATCATAGGCTGTGACCCATATCCCGAGGATTTTTATTTATATTACTATTATATCAAGATGTTATTATGGAATATTAATAGGGTCATCCTGAAGCTAAAAATATGGGGGAAATGAAACATTTAACTTGTCAATTGAATAAACTTTTAAAAATTTTGCGACCTATTTTTGATAATTATTTTTTAGTAGTCTCTTCTAATATTAAAAAATTATCAACTAAAACGGTCACATTTTTCTAAGTATGGGTGTGTGGTACCCTCCGCGCTCCCTCTCTAAATTATATATATTTAATAATCAGACGGTTATATGTAAAGCTTCCAAGATATAAAATATACATAATAAAAATTGTACAAAAATGTCAAAAGGAAATGTCAATGAGGGGAAGGATCTATTCCCTTAATTCTTTACCATTTTAACGACACTAATTAAATTCAAGATTTTTTGGATATTAAATGTTATATATTAATCTTAAATCTTGATTCTAATCAAAGTTATCAATTATTATTAATCTCAAAATAAATTGAACAAAACCTTCCCATTATGAAATAATATTTATATTTCTGACAACAAATTGCCAATATCATGATTGGCACTAAAAATTGCAGAGTCTCGCGCCAATATTCATAAAAACAATTTTAATTGACAGTATGTTGATTATATTTATAGGTTTCGATACTGAATATAAGATTCTCCCTAAGAATTCTTGGGATTTGGGAATTCATTCGTTCCAAGCCATCCCTTAAAATAAATAATAAGATACAGTTTAAAAAAAATTTCTTTTATTCTCAATTGACCTGAGAATAGCTTATGAGTCCTATTAATAAATACAATTATCGGTGAAAATACCGAAAAAAATATCGAAAATTTCCGCGTAGTAGGGTGGGCCAGGCCTACATAGCTATAAAATGTATGATTAAATTAATGTAATTAATATTTAAAACTGATGTCTCTACTTCATTCTAATTAATCTGATTTAAGTTATTTATATAAATGATTATGTAGTATACCTATTGTTATTTCTAGAAATATTTTGTCTGCATGTGGTATGAAGGCATTTTTTTTATCAATTATTAGTTAAACTACTTAAAAACAGTAAAATTAAATACAAAATTTATTTTGAACTTTTGTCCATTATAAACTAAATTTAGAATTTTAAAAATATTCCGATTATCTGTAAATACTGTATAATTAAATTTAATTTTAAAGTATCTTTAAAAAATCATTGGAGTAAACTTCAATGGAACTACCATTCTCTTGAAAATACCAAGAGTGAAGTTAAAATTTAAACACCAACAAGAAGTTTATCAATCATCGAAACAAAAATCAACACTATATCTGATTTTAACGATTATTAACATGAAGAAGACTTTTTATTTAAAAAGCTTCCCAAGGAATTGACACCATAAAAATATTCCACTGATATGTAAATAGTATCTACATATCTATCTGAAAGATATATATCGATAAAGTGTTATCTTTTTACACTCAGTAATGAATGCAGAAGCACTTTAATCATGTGCAGATATTAAGAATAGTAAAAATTATGAAAAAAACACAATTTCCAAATAAATTTTATTTTTGCAAACATTTTATCGACTGTTTAATAAAGCCCTTCTTGAACAATTTAGCATGATTTTATGAAGTATTTTTCAAAAATGCATATTTTAAGATTATTTTCAGTGGTATAACTGAAATTTTTACTTTGGGAGAGCTATACACTTAAATAAAGTCAGTTCCAAAGCCGAAAGTGTATGGCAGAAGAGGCTCATATTCCTCACCAGACATGTATTGAGTGATAGAATGAGTATATTGACTCTCCAAGATTATTGCCTAAAAATACATTATAGAAATTATTAGTATTAATTTCAATATAAGGAAGATTTATAAATTCATTTTGGTTCAATGAGAAATTACCACAACAAGATAAAAAACAAACATATCAACTATTATTGTAAAGAAAATGTTATTACCCTATTTATTATGAGTATTCACGCATTTTAATCATTTTAACCATTACTAAGTATTAATGGGATGAATTAATTACGTTTTCCTGTTATTTATAATGCAATTGTTTTTCTTGTAAAGACTACTTACATTTTTTATTTTGATGTAAATATTGTTTTATTATGTACTAAATATATGCTTTGAATTTTTTCCTTATACTAAAGTATAATATTACTGTTATTTTGATGTTTAAAATAGTGTACAATAAAAAATAAATTTTGGTTAAATTAATTAACTAGTAATTTAACGGTTTCTTATTTTAAAATTTAAAAAACGTTATATTTAGAATACGACACTTGCACTTTGTGCTAACAAGAAGAGATTATCATTTACCAATTGGATTTTAGATAACTCTTAACTGGTATTTATTTATAACAGCTGACTCTATCACCAGCTTAGTCTCCAACTACATGATTAACCATGTATACTGTACATGTTCGTTTATTAATTTATTTCAAACTTAGATTTAAAAAAAACCATAATGATGTTAAATAAATATTAAAATTTTATCTTTCAATTGTCAAACGACTTATTTTTAAACTAAAACTGAGATGTAAACTTAAAACTACTAAGCGTTTTAAATAAAATTTTTGTTACATACAGATGGGTATAATTAACAACGACAAAGAATGTCTGAACCATACCAAAACTACAATAATTTCAATGGAAAATTGTGGTTCGTAAAAATATGTTAAATTTTACTTAAAACAATGAATAATTTATGAACTTGTAGTAGAATATAATGTATTTATTTTATTTATATTGAATTATAGAAAACACGTCAGAAACTCAGCTTCTAAATCACAAGTATGATTGTCAAAACAGTTCTAATAATCTCGTTGAAAAAGAAAAAACGTAAGGTTAAAGTCCAATTCATTACTACTGACGTTTTATTATTAACCCGATTAATCTCGTACACATTTTGATAATATTCTTAATAACACATTTATTTATGTATTTTATATATGTTAGAATTATTATTTGTATTAGTTGTATTATAACAAGTTATATTGACCATGTATAGACATGAATAGTAGGAAAACTTAAGTAGATTAATTAGTTCCTTTAAACTGGTCGTAGTCCTACTAAAAATTTATAAAACAATATTTATTATTGTATTCAAATATTTTTTTAGTTGGGATTTTGCCCCTTTAATTTTTTAGCTTCAATGCGAATTTACCATGCTTTTTAAAATTTACTTGTAAGTGGTCTTGAAAATAACTTCTAAAATAAAATAAAGATCTAGTTCCTTCATAAACTAATTTAAATTTCCAAAATTTTAGGAATTTACATTTAAAAAAAATTTTCTTCTTCATTATTTTATATAACCTGTTACATTTGATCAATAAGCATAATTTATTTTATAATGTATATTTTTTCGAAAAACTGGATAAATTAACCGCCGAGCGGAAGTATCTAAGCATGAGTTTTAAAAAAGAATGTTGAAAGGTAAATTAATGTTATACTCGTACATCTGATATTCTTCAAAGCTTTTTCATTAATGACTCAGTGTGAATTAAGAAATTTACGATATAAATTTAGCTTATTGTAAAATAGGATCATAATTAAGGACAGGGTCAGAGGAATGCAATCATTCATATTTTTTTTTTAATTAAAACATTTCCCTACATTTTGGATTTATAAATACGATACTTTAATAAAAATATTATGATACAGTATAAACAAAATAAAAATATTTAGCGCTATTAAATCTATTCCTATTCTTTAAAAACATTAAAAAAATATAAATAAGAATTAAAAAAAGTATTTTTGTTATTTTACTTAAATAATATAGTAAATAGGCAATAGATTGATGTGCATTTATATTTTTAATTGTGTAAAGTTTTTTACGACAATATATAATGATGTTATAACATTATTTTAATTAGGATTAAAGATGATATTTCTATAAAACGCAAAAGTAATGATGTAATTACAAAATTGTCGTGGAGTGATTTGTATCCTCAGGTAATATTTAAAAACATATTTTATTTTTCCTTAAAACTAAGCTATTAATAAATAGATACACAAGATGCTTAAAATGCTTAAAATGTAAAAGGTGTACAGATAATTATAGTCTATTATAGTTATTGTAGGTCCTAATAATGAGAGAATAGGGTATTGTTTTAGCGAGATAATAAAACTGAAGAAAATGCTCTAGATTTAAAGTATTGTTTGGTCTTGCTGTAGTCAATACCCTATTTTGGAAGAGAAAAAAGCATTATATAATTTATAAGAGTAGAATAATAGATTACAGATGGATTATTTTATAGGAAAGAAAGAGAGAGAGAGTATAAAGCCAGTAATAAATATAGTTTAAAAAAACTAAAAAACACGCTTTTAAAGCACATCGAACTAAAAAGTTAAAAATAATTTTTAAAATAAGCTTAAAATAATTATGAACAAAAAATACTAGTATTATTGTGATAAAAGCGTGGGTGCTTTGTGCCATATTTTTTGTATATTGAGCGCCCGACGTTTTTATCACAATAATACTAGTATTTTTTGTTCATAATTATTTTAAGCTTATTTTAAAAATTATTTTTAACTTTTTAGTTCGATGTGCTTTAAAAGCGTGTTTTTTAGTTTTTTTAAACTATATTTATTTTTCACTTTTTAGTTTTATGTTATGATAATAGTTAATATCAATATCATGGTTGCAACGGGTAACGGGAAATCAGAGTTCGATTCCGGAGAGGTAGTCAGAGAAACGGCTACCACATCCAAGGAAAGCAGCAGGCGCGCAAATTACTCACTCCCGGAACGTGGAGGTAGTGACGGAAAATGACGATACGGAAATTATTCCTCGTAATCGGAATGAATACTTTATATCTCTTAATTAGAATAAAGCGTGTTAATATATACATTTTAATAGTAATTAGAATATATATATATATATATATATATACAAGTAAAGCGACTTAAGTACATAAACGTATCATGCACTAGGTATAGCTGTGTTTTGTAGGCGGGCGGTTCGGACTAACGTTATACCTGAGGTATAAACGACGGTTGGAATATACAGGGTGTTCAGTAAGTCAGGAAACGGGTATCTATTGTTCTCATTGTTACAAACAATGAGAACAATAGAAATCCGTTTCCTGACTTACTGAACACCCTGTATACGTAAGCCGTATGACACGCGGATGGTATTGGCCAGTCAAAATAAAAATTTGTTTATATATATATATAATATTGATGACAAGTACGCGTGTACGGGTACGATAACCAAAAATAAATTTATACAGGAATAGTGTAGCCGTCGTGTGGTAAGAGAGGCGTGGGGTGGGGTGAATGCGTTATGGCAGTCTAGTCTCAAGGCCACAGACGACGGAATATGCGATAACGCGTGGTGAGTAAAAAGTTACAAACATACATACATACATACATACAGGTGAAACTAATATAAGCGTGTTAAAAAATTGTAATGTTATCCCTGACAAGGGTGTGACAATATTAATAGATAGATGATTATAAGGTGTGATGTAGTAGGAAAAATGAATGCAAATCTATAAAGAACATAGGAAGAGAGTGGAGGATTAAATGCAGAAATTTAAAGGAGAAAAGAGTTCTTTATAATAGTAAAAGAAAAAATGGTGAGGAATTTCTAGAGGAAACATAAATGATGTGTGGAATAAAATTGCCCAACCCAACCGATTGTGTAAAGAATCCACAAAGGAGATTGTCAATAGGAGTAGGAGAGAATACCAGAAAACAAAGATATGTGATGGTAGAATGAGGAAATTTAGATAATTATAGCAAATAAAAAAAAGTAATTTAAAGTATGGTAGAAGAGCGGAAATACGTTAAATAAATCACAAAAATTTGTGTAAAGAAGCAAAAGGCACAGTAAGTTAGGAAAAGTGTAAAAGATATAATGAATTGTAAGATAAGTTAGGAACAGTCGAATAAAAAAAACATTATAGATTAGTGAAGTTTAAAAAATAATAATCCAAGAATTTTCAAAATGTTTGGTGTTAAAAATAATGATAAGATGTTAACAAATAATGAGTAAGTGAAAAAGAGATACAAAAATTATTTAAAAAAATTACTGATGCGCATTATTCAAGAAATATTTAAGAAGATATTTCGTGGAATAAAGGACTAATAGATTAAATTAGTGAGAAGGAGGTATAGGAGGCTGCGAAAAAGATGAAAAAGAAAAAACACAATGAACTTGATGAAATACCAATGGATATGTGAATGAAAATGTTTTCAATGAAATCTTAATAGAAGGAAAAATTCCAAAGAGCAGGAAAAGTTTTGTGTATCCATATTTAAAGGCAAAAGAGAAATAAAGGAATGTGGTAATTATAGACGCATAAAGCTTTTAAGCCATAATATAAAGATTTGAAAAAGATAAAGAAATACAAAGAATGAGACTGTAGTGAAAGTTGTTTTTGATGATATAGTGATGATGGAGTAAATAGGGTGAAAGGTAACTAAAGACTTAAGATATGAAGATTGGGATTTGAAAGAATAAGGGATTAAGGATTACTAAAAGTAAGAAAGAATATATGGAATATGAATTTTACGAATAAAAACGTGAGAGCAATGAAACAAGAACGTGATAAATGAGGTGGGAAATTTTAAATATTTAGGATCATTTGTAGAAAATAATGGTGGTATTAAAGAAAATGTGAAAACTAGGATTAAATACGGGTGGATTAAGTAAAGAGAAGTATCAAGAGTTTTGTGGGATAAGAAAATCCCAATGAGGCTATATAAGAATTTAGCTTCACCAACTATGTTATATGGGTTCGGAACAGTTGATAAGAAAGTTGAGCAAAGAATGAGTGTAACAGAGATAAAAATGCTTAGATGGATTAGTGAAGTGACGAAAGAAGATAAGGTACGAATAATATGTAAGAGAAAATATAAGAGTAGAGTCGATTATGGATAGCACCACTTAAAATAGTTCGGTTATATTATAAAAGATCGAAAGCTGTAAGAACAGTTATAGAATTAAATGTTGAAGGAAAAAAAATAAAAGGAGGCCAAAAAAGAGATGATTGGATGTAATTGGAGCTAATATATAAACTTATAGTGTGTGTATAGAAGGTATATCGTGTTAAGTGGAGGTTTAAATACGAATTTAGATAAGTGGGAAAAATGCGAAGGAGAAGAAGAAGAAAATTGTCATTAAATTTACAAATACAAAATGAAATTCTTCGATAAAATACTTTTTTTAAATTTTGATGTAATTCATAACAACTGGAAATGTTAGTTAAATATATGGAAATGCTAAGCAAATCCTACTAACTGGAACTAGAGTCTGAATATTTTTTTTTCATAATAAAGTACATTACATTAGCTTTAATTTAAAATATATATAAAAGTGTTAGACCTTCCGGAACATTTTCAAAAGTTAAGTTGAAAAAGTTAATTTTTTGTAAAAAAGTTGTCATTTTAATTCCCCTCCGGTGGGCAGGTTAAGTGTCAAATTTACAAAAAATATATACCAAATGATAGATAAAGACATCAAGCATCTATAAATAAAAAAAATTATATTGATATGTTCATTTTTGAAAAAGTTACGGCAAATTTTAGTAAAAAAAATTGAAAAAATTACGAAAATTAGCGATTTTTAAATTTGTAATTTTTTTGGAGGTTTCCCCCATTTACGGGGAACGAGGGAAATTTTTTCAATTTTTAAGGGTAATATCTTCGACTAGATACGATTTGTGATCTTTTGACGTATCGTTGAAAGAAATCCGTTCGGTGAGAGCTGAGAAAAAGTGGTAACAGACACAAAAAAAAAAAAAATAAACACATCTTAGTAAAACCAATACCTTCTCAGCTTCGCATCGAAGCTAAAATATAATAAGTGATTTTAATAAAACTATGGGCCTTTTACATAAATTTACAGTTAATAGTAAATATAAAGTTTCTGGCCATATTTCAATTCAAACAAAACCATTTTTGAAATATTCATACAATTTTGTACTTAATGATATCAATTTTAAACTTGCAAGTTTAACTAAAAAAAAGGTATTATGTACGCTTCTGTTTAAAACAATAAAAATAAGCAAATGTTATAAATCCCGAGCCATGATTATCACGAAGATTTTATTAGAAAACTCATTCGATAAGAGAAAATTAATTTCAATTTTTACATTTTTAATATATGTGTTGAAAAATATGTGTACAAACCCAAAATTAAAATTTTATCTGCTTGACATTTATTTTAGATAAGTGCTAGTTTTGTAGCCTTCTTAATAGTTCTTCAACCGGGAATTAATATGGCGTATTCAAATATTTTACTGCATCATTTGCCATACATAACAAAAGTTCAATTTTCATGGATTAGTAAGTATCATATTTATATTATTAATATTCAAATAATTTATTGTTAATTTTTTAAATAAATTATTAATTAATAAGTTAATTAAAAAATTAATTAATTTTAATATTTAAGCTAGTTTGTTAGCTTTAAGTACACCCCTCGGAGCTATTTTAATTGGCCCACTAATGGATAGAATTGGTAGAAAAAATGCTTGTTTCTGGTCATGTCTACCACTACTTACTTCATGGCTACTTGCATTAGTCACAAACTCAAATAATATTGTTTTATTTTATCTATCCAGATTGTGTGCTGGTATTGGTTCAGGTGAGTTTAGTATTTATTAATTTTATCAAATGCTTTTCAATTTTTATTTTATTAAATGCCGTGGCTTATGTTTTTGCTATGATGTAGCTATACGATTTTTAAACTAGAAAATAAATTTTTGATAGTTCACCTATTTTAAGGGGATTATGATACTCATAATCCACTTTCTGGATTCCCCACTGGTGGTGAGCATGTATATTCTATCTTGTAGTATAAAATGGCATGTTTATAATAGTTGTATATTAAACGTGCGATTAACAATGTTATAGGTATGTCAACCGTAGCCATTGTATACGTCTCAGAAATTGCTCATCCTTCTTACAGGCAAATTCTTTTATCATTAAACAGTGTATTTTTTTCTGGTGGTATATTGTTATCCATGGTACTGATAAATTTTCTTGGCTGGCTGGCTATCACAATAACTTTTATAGCACTTACTGTGACTAATATGGCATTGATAGTTATATTTATACCAGAAAGTCCAGTCTGGATACTGAAGCTGAAAGGTCCAGAGTATATATTAAAAGCTAAAAAAGCAATCAAAAAAATTTATCCAACCAACGAAAATGTAAAGTTGCACACAATGATGTATACACATTTCATTTATAATTAGTTTCCTTTCTTATAGGCATATTCTGCCGAATGGGGCCGTTTAACTGACAGAAACTTCTCAGTAAATCAAACGGAGCAAAAATTCTTCGCTACTTTAAGATCTGATCCAGTTGCATACAAGCCAACGTTGATTTTGATCGGTCTATTAACGTTACAACAGTGGAGTGGTGCTTATATGACTATATCATATGCGTTGCCAATATTCAAATCAATTGTGCCTAATGGATCAGCTGATGATCTGGAAGCCTTGGCGTTGTTGGGAATCATAAGATTTACAGGTGGCGTCATTACATCCGTGTTGTCTTTTTATGTTGGTCGTAGGCCTTTAATGATGGCATCTAGCTTAGGCATGTTTATGTCATCTGTAGTGGTAGTATTAACGTATGATCCACATTCTGTGATCAATCCACAAATAGGGTTATTCAACATGCCCGTACCACTTTTTGGAGTAATGATGTTCGTGCTTTGTGGTTCATTCGGTGTACTCGTATTCCCTTGGACGCTGATTAGTGAACTATTGCCTACGTCTGTTAGGGCGATTGGTGGGGGTATGCTTGTTTCCTATGGCTATTTGTCTATGTTTGTTACCCTCTGCACATTTCCTCATTTGCTAGCCATTATTGGCGTTGTTAAAATGTTTGCTGTTTTTGGAACAGTTTCGCTATTGACAATATTTTACGTATATACACTTCTACCAGAGTCTCTTGGAAAAAGCTTTCGACAAATCGAAGAATACTTTAAAAAAAATACTTTAGAGTAGGCAAATACTACATTTTATTTCGAATATTAAGAAAGAATTTTTTTTCGTGTCATTAACTTGTGTTCTATTTGTTTCTAGTGATTATAAGTCTATGTTTGAAGTAATAAAATTTCTTTCTGAATAAAATTCTGTAAATAACTTATTTAATGCTTTACAGTGTCGTAATTTGTGGGGAGTCGATAGGGGTAATGGCCCACTAAGATATATTTGTATTAATGTATAATATTTATTTTAATAATGTTCCTTCCCCTGAAATAGTCTTAAATACGCCACTGATACAAAATAGTAGAAATAAAAATCCTGTGAGACAAACGCTGTCATGTAATTAACATAATTCGAAGTGTCTAGTTGTAGATCAATAATTTAATGTAATATGCAAAAATACAAATTACAATTATAAATATTCAAATAAGATATGATTGTTTAAAAATAGAGTCAATGACACTTTTTTTCTTATCAAAATTGTTATTACAAATACTGTTAATGTTTTTTACTTGTTTAGCAATCAATTCAATATTATTCGTTTTCATTGACTACTCTAGGTAAATCGATTTCAAACAATACTCTTGTTTCAATCAAGTACCACATAAATTTTTTGTTCTAATTATATTATTGTTTTGGTTGTATAATTAAATCAGAAGTATTGTACAAATTTAAATTACAGTTATGTATGTAATGCTTAAATAAAAAAATTAAATCATGATTAATTTTTAATTCTTTACTAATTTATATAATTAACCTGATTTAAATTACCAGCATCATATAGAACATAGGAATATCTTAAATTGAAGAAGAAATTGTGATAATACTTGAGCTAAGTAGACGGCCTACACAGCTCAGTCGGGAACTCGTCGTTTCTCGGCGCATAGGTATCAAGGTTCGATTCCGTCGTGCTGAGCTATGTATTGTTTCCGTCTTCCCTATCACTAGCATAGCTTATCAGAGAGAACGCCAAACAAATAATGTAATAACCTCTAGAATATTTTTAAAAATATATACAATAGAAATAAAGTTAGGTTTTTTTCTCGTTAATTTTAAATTAACCAAGTTTACAGGTATACACTAATTAGCTTTTAATTTTACTAAACGTACCTTTTTCAAAATTAATGTAACTTTAGCGAATGAAAAAATGTATTAATTTCCCAGTAAGTTAAAATTTTTCAACGTTACAAATAGTTTGTTTATTTATTTTAATTGAAGAACGGATTAAATACTTGGTCATTAATTAAATTTCAGTATCAAATAACAGCTAATATATTAAATTACTATTTCATTTTAAACATACTATTAACAGTATTAACTAAAATTTTACAAGTAGTATGAACAAATATATAACATTGCAATAATAATATTTATTATTAAATGTACAACTTACTTTAATACGCAATTATATCAAAATATTAGTAGTAATAATAGATGTAGTGATAATAATTGTGTATTTAAATCTAAACGCCTAATATTTTGTTCTTTTATCAATTGCTGTCCGATAATCATATTAAACAAAAATCATGTACACGTTAAAAAAATAGCCTAGTAGGGTAATCTTAGATTTCAATAAGTCCGATAACGTTTCAATTAGTGTGGAACAGTCGGTGAATAATATGCGGTCTATTTTTGTTCATTTGCCACTTAATTACGTTTTACTTGAATAACAAAAACCATGCTTGTTGTTTAATACGGTGATAACGCGTAAGTTTGGAAAAATATGTGACGGGAAATCCTATGAATCTACTTTGTTTTAATAGCATTCTTAGATTGATTATTTACTACTTTGTTGTATTCGAGTTCAACTTTTGACGCAAACATGGTCGCAGAAATCGAAAGCACATACGTAACACCATTACTTCACAGCGATTCTTCGACTTGGAAAACGTATCAATCGAAAAGACAGTAAGTACAAATATTGTACATCGGATTACAAAAACATCAACACAAAGTGCCGTCCAAGTGATAAAATTGTTTATATATTGTTTATCAGGCTAATTTTTGGTTCAGTTAAAATTTAAAACGCAATACTGTCCATTACTTAATACTCCAGTCTAGTATCTCAATGATAACATAATTAAAAAAAAATTCTTGTGAGTCTTTTTTAAAATTTGATACTGCAATTGATTGGCTGTGAAAATTATAATGATATATTTCTATTGTATACCATCTTATTATTCTGAGTGTTAACGTAAAGGATTTTAATTTATATGGCACTAACAAGTAAATATAATTCTTGATTATTGGCAGAAGTGAAAACAAAAATGCATTTTAGAGAATAATAATTTTAATGACATTCACCCCATTAATTAAATTTTTTTCTCAATACTAAAAACTGTTGGATTTTAATTCTCATGTTTAAAAGGTCTTATATCGATTTTAAAATCAATTATTTTAACACTAATTAAGAACAGAAATTTTTTTATTTCTTAGAGTTCCTCCCAATCTGTATTTTTAGTGGACAGTATTGTTTTTTTTAATCTTTTAAATACTCACTTTTCAAAATTATGTTTTCTAATATTACATATTTAAATTTAATAATAATAAATATTTAAACATTTCTACTGATTTCTATTACGAGTACAAAGCCTTATAGCTCGAAGGGTCTTCGAATTTGTGTTCTTACTGATTTGGTAGTTTGCCTACTAATTGCTAATCTTTCAAATGTACATGAAAAATATATATTGTTAATGGCATATATTCACCATTTTTTATGATTTCGATTGTTTGTTATACAAAAAAAGTAAGTGGACATTTTTGATGAAAGTGAATTAAAATATGGAATAAATATAAAAAACTAAATGTTGTTATATCATCGATAACTATTAAATTTTGAAATTTTACTATTTTATAGTATTTTAAAATTTAGAATTTTACAGCAATTAAGATTTTTAAATGATACTTCTGCAAAATTGTTTAAAATTCACTTACTCCTTTTGTAGTAAGTTTTAATTTCTCGTCGATTAATTATTGAAAGATTTTTCCATATTGACGCATTTTTATATTTATTTTGTCAATGAATGAGAGTATAATTTACAATGCCTAATTTTTGGAAAAAATATATGAGATCAAAATACAATTATAAACTAGTAGTAGTATTTTACAAATCCATTTAACATTATAACTTTCTTCTAATGGAATAAAATTTGCCTTACGTTCTTCTTTTAATTTATTTTTCGTGTAGAATTGAATTTAGTTTAACCATAAACAATAATGAACTTGAAGAAGACGAACCCGCAGACAAAGGAAGACTTACGTGGGAAGAACTATATCCACAGGTATATCTATTCATTAGATTAAGTATACAATCAATAAAAATTTTACTCAAAATTTGACATCCATTTCAGGTCTTGGCTAGCGTCGTAGCTCTTTTGTTAGTTGCTCAGCCGGGAATTAATATGACTTACTTGAATCTTGTTTTGAAAAATAAAAACGTGGAGCATTACTCTGAACTGTCATGGTTAAGTAAGTTGTTCAACACATAATTTGTGTGTTCTATGATAAAATTGTCTTGCTCTATAACCTGTATTAAAAAGTTATTTTAAATGATATCTAAGACTTCCTATCCAGATAACAACTGTATTTGGTGTAATTTAAGCACGCCACTTTGAACATGCTATTAGTTCAATGTCAATGCTTAATAAAGAATAAAACAGATTATTTTATATTATATTGTCACAGATCGTTGTTGACAAAAATATGTAAATTCTAAACTAATTGCGTTTAAAAAAAATATATGATATTGCGAACATAATATTTCTTAATTTAAATTATTACACAATTATAAATTAATCATAATAGTGTTAATCTTTAAATATCAACTAAATTTTATTTCAAAAAGTTTTTCTAGTGTATTTTTTTTCGTGTAATATTTTATCAGAATTTTTATCTTTTTGTATTGAAATATTTATATTGTATATTATGTATACAAGTTCAAAGTTAATTGTAAATCCATATAATAAACAATTAGTGTACGTTGGGCAACTTAGCCGAGTCGGTAACGCGCCGTGCCTCGTAGTGTTGGTATCAGGGTTCGATTTTGTACGCTGGTTTTTCCGTCTTTTCTGACGCAACCATTAGCTTTAAGAGAGGACAATAAACATAAATAAATTGAAAATTGGTATTAAAATCAAAATATTTGAATATGATATTTTTCTAGTAAATAACCAATTTTAAAACAAAAAACATGTTACGTGGATTAAAGGTTTTAATTATTTTACTTTTCAGTGGGTGTGTTAGTATTGAGTATACCAGTTGGTGCGATATCGGTCGGTATGATTATGGATCGTATTGGAAGAAGAAAAGCTTGTCTATTGTCTTGTATACCACTATTATTAGCCTGGTCTATAGCTCTAATGTCAACTGTATTTCCAGAGTATTCCGATCTCATGTACGCGTGTAGATTTTTGGCCGGTTTCGGTGGAGGTACTACTATACATTAATATTTATGATAAAAATAGTAAATCGTTTGCAAATATAAATGAATAAACATTTTAGGGATGACGTCTGTGGCAATGGTCTATATATCAGAAATAGCTATGTCGTCTTACAAACAAGCGCTTTTGTCGCTAAACAGTGTATTTTTTTCGTTTGGCATCCTTTTTGCAGCACTAATTGGTCGTATGGTTTCGTGGAACGTTGCAAACGCCATTTTTTTTGTGTTTACCTTCATTACCATGATATTCATTTTTCTATTCTTGCCGGAGAGTCCATCTTGGCTCATCAAATTTCGAAACGAACAAGTTTATAGAGCGAAAGGATCATTAAAGGCTCTTTATCCGTCAAACAAAGTACTAACCGAAAATAATTTTTCATATTTAACTTATCTTATACTTTTGATTTATGATGTTATAAAACGTACTACTATTGTCGAAATTCGTCAAATCGAGTAAGATATATTTTTTCACTGTGTAGAAGGCTGGTCAATTATTTTTGAAATCAAAATTAATGAAATTGCTCTCGATTATTAAAAATAATTTTTCAAACTCAATTGAATTATGTACAATACAAAAATAAAAGGTCTTTTCGAAAAAACTAAAAAATGACAGTTGTACTTTTCGTAATATCGCTTTTATATGTGAATTCATAATGATTATAAGTATTCAATAAAACAAACAGTATAAATTACACAGTTGTTTGTGTAGTTTAATCACGCGTTTCAATGTCATTCGGTACCATTTTATGTAGTAATTTTTTTTTTTTTTTTTAATTGACTGGAATTTAAAAAAAATTATTTTATGACATTAAGTAATTTTTATATTTTTTCTTTTACATGAAACTGAAAGTTTTACACGGAGGAATGGAATCGACTGAACTTATCTCCAGCTACTCCATTTTTGTTCAAATCTGCTCTTTCTCGTCGTTTGTCCAAACGTGTATTGAAGCCTGTGAGTATCCTCGCGTTGATGTTACTTTTACAGCAACTAAGCGGATGTTACGTAGTAGTTATCTACGCGGTACCGACGCTGAAAGCGATAGCGCCTAATGGATTTATGGATGAAATGAGCGCTTTCGTTGCATTAAGCGTAATTCGGTTTGTCTTCAGCGTCGTTACGAGCATGTTGTCACTTCGATTTGGCCGTAGACCGTTGATGATGATTTCGTCGCTGGGAATGACGTGCTCGTCACTGATGGTCGTTGTCACTTACGTTTCGCGTGTTGACGTAGATGACTGTGACCCGGCTCAATGGTCTGTATGGAACTTTAGCGAGACGGAGACATTTCCTCTAATGGGCATTATGTTGTTCACCATCAGCAGCACGTTGGGCGTCGTAGCGTTCCCTTGGACTTTGGTCAGTGAACTTCTGCCAACTTCAGACAGGGCCACAGTCGGTGGGTTTCTGATCTCTTACGCGTACGTCGTGATGTTTTTAGTATTCAAAGTGTTCCCATTCGTATTGGACGCCATATCCATTACAGGAGTATTCATGGTTTTCGGCGCCGCCTCTCTGGCCATGTTCATACACGTGTACGTTTCTCTGCCGGAAACCCTCGGTAAGCATTTTCACGAAATCGATGAATACTTCTCTTGAAAATGTATCTAGTACTATCGTCCTTGCAATAATCATCGACAACATTTACCTTTAACATTGTTTTTAAACATCACGACAAGGCCATGGACGACATCACACACAATTTATATTCGCTACGTTGGAGTGAAGATGTGGCAAAACATCTGCCGCGCGAAAAAATAAATTGACACAACCTTGTTTGTTTTCAACGAGGCAACTAAAAACTGACACATGTACCTTAATAGTTCCTACTTTCTTTTAAATATTTTTTTTATTGACATGTACGAATGTGAGATGAATATTATATGTATATAAATACCTACGATGATTTTTACTTTTAGTGTAAGAGCATATAGTTAAATAAAAATTGTATCTATTTAATGTTATATTTCTAATAACGTGATTCAATTTTTCTACACACAATAATGAAGACATTTTTATTTTAGATTCTTTATNTAATTAAAATTTTGTTATATTTCTAATAACGTGATTCAATTTTTCTACACACAATAATGAAGACATTTTTATTTTAGATTCTTTATTAAAGACGTTTTTTGACTCAAACTTATTATCATTAATTTACTTGTTATAGAAAATGTTTTGTGAGATTTTTTAAATAACTTAGAAAAGAAAACGGAAAAAAGAAATTAACCATTCGTAAATTATATGAATAGCCAGACCATACTGTACACTTCATTGTATAATATATTAGTAAATAAATGTACTATAATTTTTTTAATTTATTTCAGCTAAAATCATTAAATGTTATTTATTCAATCATCATAAATCTATACCATTAGAATGTATAAACACAAAAACAAAAATAAAATCATACCATTGAAAGCATTAACATGAAAACAACGATTTTCAAACGATATGCTTTTCTGGAATTGATATAACTTAAAATATTTGCCAACCACCTCAATGTTCCAATTGCATCATAACATTTGATACAATAATTCCTTCATTTAAATGATAAATATTTTTCAAGTATTATTTTGGCGTTTATTATGAAAAAATGTTGAAATTGTATCAAACTTGTCTCTGAATTTTCTATATTTTTTATTTTCAACTTCAACAAAACTTACACTATTCTAAATATAAAATATTTTGAAATACTAAGTACAGTTTTTCTCTTTCGATACAGATTTACTTACTATATGTATATTTACAGATTTTTTAAAAATAATGATGGATTTATATCATATACAAAATTATCTACAGCAATATTATGGTTTGTCAAAAATAATCTTTTTAGTGTTTTTTTTACACGCGCAGTGTAATCTTCTAGATCATCTTATTCTTTTCACATACTCTGGTTGTAAGACAATTTATTATTTTATCAAACGCATCGGTATCCATTCTCGGATTTTTTATAGTTTTTCTACTTTTATTCTTAATAATTCTCTAGGACATGATGTGGCTCAATGCATTTTTAAAGAAATTTTGTCTTCAGTAAAATTTCAGTTAAATAAAATTTAAAAAGAAAATATATGTAAGATATATAAGAATTACTAAACACTGTGTGTTTTATTCAAAACCGTCATTCATGTTATTGAAAATAAATTTGTTATCATGATTGCTTATTGTACAACAGATATATAGATTGTAATTTTCTTATAACTAACTAAAAAAAAAAAAGTGAACTAAGAAATAGTGGCTCTAGCAAAAAAAATAACACATAAAATATTGTACCTTTTTAACTTCACATTGAAGCTAAAAAAATAATGCCATAAATCTTTGTTTTTAACAAATTAAAAAAAATTGATATGTCAATATCGATATTTTATCGAAATATTTCTATGGATATCAATTTAAATGGGTTTGTATAAAATAAAATATATATTAAGGAATGAAACTTAAATAATTAAATCCTTTTAATTACAGTTAAAAATGCATTTTGAATGGAACGGATTGAATTTGACTTGATTAATTTCTTTTTGTATCAGGCCAGATAGAAATTTACACATAAATTTGGATCGGGTTGGACTAGGCTTATAAAAATAAAATTCTGATGGGATAAGGCCCCATTTTAAGGAGGGTTAAACAATTTAGGAGACCAATAAATAAATTAAGAGGAGAGAAAGCCACTACCGTGTTTCTGCCAATTAAATCTCTTTTACTATATGCACTATTTATGTTTCAATTAAGTTTGACCTTCTATTACCGCCGAATAATTTTTAACTAAATAAATTATAACACATGCGAATTAAAAAAAATCAACATTAGTAATATTTATTTATACTCCAAACGTCTAAGGATATTATTCCTTTAAATTACATAAACTTTAAAATATAATATTATAATTGATAAACTGAAAACGGCCAGTAGCTGACAATTACAGTTACACGAATATGTATACAAATGAATAAACGTAGTACGATGCAATTTGTGCATTACTAGATCACGATAAGTATATACTCCAATACACTAGTTAAAAATTATGGTCAGAAAATTTGCATTTAAGTCTTACATAACGTAGTAATATAAATAATTGTAATAATAATAATACATTCACTAATAATAAACAATTACTTGAAATGTTTTTCTGAAACGCTGTTACAAAGAGGTAAAACTACCTAATACATTTTCCAGCATTTAATTTGTGTTTTATTTCACAGTTACTTAATCGTTAATTTAGATAAGTTCAGGAAAAACATATACAATTGATATTTATAACTCCGTTTCAATTATCTAAATTTGCGTAGGTAAGTAGTTTTCCTTTTATCTGAATTGTGAAATGTTTAACAGTCGAAAAATTAATAAGCTGATACAAATATTGTTAGATATAAACGATATTTCTTAAAAATAACAATAATTAAGTCGTTATATTCGATAATATAATATTTAAAATATTTTAGCGTGTAAAGTCAAAAATTTTCTACCGAAATTAATTAAATATTTGTTTGTATATTTATTTATATAACAATTTTGGAACATGTATAAATGATGGTGTATTAACTCTGTTACAAAATTTTTACTATGATTTAATCACAGTAGTGAAATGTGAATATTTTATAAAAAAAAAAAAATGTAAATTTTAAACGATGATAAAATGTGTATTATACTATTTACAAAGTAATTTTCGTTTTTTTTTTTTTTATTGTTTGGTAATTATTTTAATAAAAAATTATCCAGTCAATAAACGAAAGTTAACACCTAATGGTAATAACATTTAATCGGTAAGTAACAAGCATGATAATATGTTTGGGTAGGGGCAGTTTTCCAAAAGCATTATTATGAATACATAACATTTTATAAATTATACATGTATGCGTATGTACTTCAATGCACCTTTAGTTTCACTTTATCATTTTAAGTCGATATATTTGATGGTCGTTGGTGATGGTGTGTTAAAAGCATTGGAGATTTTTATACGTTTTAGTCGTCCGAAAACCAAGCTGAAAAACATAAATGAATATTAAAGGTCAAGCCAAAGTAAAAGTCATTTATCAGCTAAATAATTATACCAAGTGTCTTATATCTACTATAGCGATATCATTTGCTAATTTAAACATTTATTATTAATTAACTAAATAAGTATCATATTACTACTCGCGTTAAAAAATAAGCCTATTTTTTACTACTTCTATTTAATAATCTCTAAATAATAAAAATTGTAAATAATATTTATTGTGATTATCTGCAAAAATAAACGTATATATATATATTTATCTAAAAATATAAATTATATAGTTTTTCATTAACTTTTGTGTTGTCTCGTTATAAATTATATGTGTAAAAAGTTATGCAAAACTGCCCAGAGTAGTAAAATTAATTAATATACATAGTGATCTGTTTATTGACATCATTCAATTACTCGGAAAATAGATTTAATATTGAAAAAAACTTTTCGTTTTATTAAGTTATGTATATTCCTTGATTTTTCAGCTATTTATTACTTTTTAGCATCATTCATCATAATTTATAGGTGTCAACTTAATTTTTTTGATTGACAGCACAAATAATATGTATTATGAGCTAATAAGCTAGTTAAATATTATTTAACTAGCTTATAAAAAAAAGAAATGATCTAATTAAGAAAATGACGTGTGTGTACTCAGGATTGTTGCGTATTTATCTTGCGAGTAGTTGGACTTCCTCTTCTTCTTCTCCCTCGCCATTATCACAACTATAGTTGGGGTCGACCATTTGTATCCTAAACCTACGCTTAACACGATTTTTTATATTATTAATACACACACTAACAGTTCTCATATCAACCCCAATGACGTCCAACCACTTCGATGTTGGACAATCATCCAACACGATACAAAAAATGTATTGTTTAGGACTCCTGATAATTATTGAGTAATTGAGTGGTTTGTATTAAACGGATCACCTTGTATAACTTCTATAATTAATTCCTTCTACTGTATTAGATATCATAGCTTAGAGACTAATTAACTTGTAATACTTAAATAATAAAGTTAATATTTTTTTAATTATTTTTTTTAGAACGATTTTATACTTAAACATATGAGCATGCAATTTTAAATAGGTATTTTTTCCAAATTTGATTAAAACAAGTAAGCATTCTAAGTGAGTAAATTATGTTAGTTTGGTGCACTCATGAGAAATAAAAAGTTTCCTCGGCTCTTTTATCCACTTGAACATATGTTAGTCTTTTTAGTTCTCATATGGGAAATCGTTTTATTTATAATATTAAATAACTACTTAAGACAAATTATATGACAATATTTTAATATAGTGATACAGCATTACTAGTGCAAAACAAAAGAAGATGACAAATTTATTAAAACAAAAAAAATTACCTAAGTGTAACCCGCAGAGTTTTTCAAGTCTCAAACAAGATTTTTGCGTTCAAGTATTAAGAGCCAATAATAATTTGTGACACATACGGATTGTTTAGCTAACCACACATGATGTATTTTGTTGAAATAAATATAACAAACAGCACACAAAAACGTAAAACGCACAAAATAAAGCAACTTTTTCAGTTAGTGTGTATATGTCGTGATAAAGTATTAGTAATACTTTTTGAGATTTTTTTTGTTGACTTTTTAAAGTAATGTTTCTTTCATTATATTTAATATAAGTTACACATGTTTAAATATATGCTGTAATTTTATTAATCTTCTCCATTTGGTTTAAAACGATTTTTTGCCTTAATTTATATTTTAGTTTAGGTAAAATATTATAAATAATAATTTTAAAATAACTTATAAATTAGAGAGAAACCGCCTGTTGACAAATATTTTAAGAGAGGCCATTATTTATTTTAGCTAATCAGTAAGTTTTATACTCTCTAATTCCGGTAATTCCCTTTATACTATTTCACAAAAAATGATATTACTCTATACATAGAGTCATTACAAATTTTTACATATAAGTCAGTAAAAAGAAAGACTACTAATCTCATCAGGCATCCCTATTGAAATATAATGAATTTATCTTAATTGTTGTTTCTTCTAGTTTTGAAACATTTTTTGAAGGCTAAGTTATATTATGAATTGATAATAATTTTTATAATGAGCATTATAGTAATTATACATAGGTAGTAATACGATGGAAAAAGGAAAAATTTGTACAATATAAAATTTATATCAAACGAATTTATCATAATTTAATTAGGATAATTTCTAAAAAATAAAGGTAATTGACATTTTGTAAAACTTTTTAGTCAATTATGATGATATAATATTATTTGTTTAAAAATAAATTAAAACATTCTCACAATAAAATTTGGTTTTAATTTTATTTTTTCCTTAAAATTACCTATATAAGTTTAAGTCTAATAATGGATAATATTGTAATATTTTTAACATATTTATAAACGTTTTATAATTAGGAAATAATTGATATTATAATTATATCTTAAATAATATAGTACAACGCATGGTCTAAATTAACTAAGTAAATAACAATAATTATTTTTAAGCTGAACACATCAATTAATTTTTTTTGGTATTTAACTCGGTACTAATGAAAACTGATTATACATTGGACATTAATTAGTAATTTTAAGTTAAAACCAAAATGGAGTTTTAAGTAAAAATAAAAATGTTGAATAAGCTAATAAAAACAATTGTTTAGGTAAATGTGTCTCTATATTTAAATAGTAATTAAAATCCGAGACTTGAATGTTTAAATAATCTATAAAAATTATTAATGCGTTAAAAAAAAAAAACAGTTTGTATGTATGTAACGTTTTCCGGTATCGTCATACAGTTATAAGCCACCAAAATGTAGAAATGGTATTTATTGGAACTTACCAACTAGAATGGCTAATATTATAATTACAATTACACCCATTATGATCATCATCTGAAACACATACATAAAATTAATACAAATCATTAATTTCCCTAATTATTAATCACTGAACAGCTATAAATATTGTAGGTTTTATTATATTAATTTTATTGTAGGTTATATATTTTGAACTATTTAAAAAAATATGTACTCATGGTATTTATTTTTTAATACTTTTAGCTTCGATGCGAAGCTGAGAAGGTTTGCATCGAAGCGTTTCTTATGATAGTGATTTTTTATATTTATTTGTACATTAAAAATTTTTTGAAAATATTAAATATATTAAACATAATTTTGATTTAAAAATTTCTAGTTGAAACACTTGGTGAATACTTGAACGTACAAATAAATTTAGTTGAAGAGTAACCTTGGACGTTGAAAGACCCAAAATATTAGTTATTTAAAAAATCTGAGACTTAAGTATTTTAAGACATATCACAATAAATATTTTTGTTTTGTGATAAAAAAGCAAATTAGTAACATTGTATTTTAAATAAAAAAACTTAGAAATAGAGTAAATAGAGTAACATTAGAAATAAAAATTTGAATGTCCTGAATATGATTAATTCAAATGCAAAACTTATTGCATGTAAGTATAGTTAATTTTTATTATAGAATTCAAATTTTTTAGTTTCAAATTTTTAAGTCGAAAATTGATATCGTGGATATCATAATTTGGGTCATTATATGGTATATTTCTAGAAAGTCTCAAGTAAACTTAATATTTAAATTTTTTTTATGCAGTTTGGCTGATATTCTTGAAAATATTAATAAATGACGGTTGATCATGTATAAATGAAATGTAATTTATAATCTATTTTAAACAGAAGTATTTTTTTTTTATATCTATGCCATCAATTTTTGACCTAAAATTTTGAAACTAAAAAATTTGTATTCTACAGTACAAATTAGAGCATTTTTATATACTAATCATAATATTCGAGTAAAATTTAAATAACAGAAAACGTTTTTTGGGTATTTTTTGGTCAAATTACAAAAAAAGACGTTGAGCAATCAGTAAAAAAAATGTTTAAATCTCAAGTTTTTACTAATTGTCTATTTTAATGTATATAATTAAGTTAAATGGGTTCTCATTATAATTTCGACGATCGACTTTTTTTGACCTACTCTAGTGAGTAGAGTGTATCGTGGGAGGAATATGCATTTAAAGTAAACACCAGTATCGACTTGCGCTACATATCCCTACTCAATGTATTCAAATTCGGTAGTTCAATAACTATTTTTCTTAAAATTATTATCGACCCATTAAACATTTTTGTAAGAGAAGTGCTAAATACTTGCACATGTTCTTATAAAGTATTTAGTTATTGATTTGCAGCAATTTGTTAATTTATAATTGTTATTTTATTTAATGTTAATAAATAATATTAATTATGCATAGGGATTCATACATTTTGTTCGCATTTTTTTACAAATACGGTGCAATGTATATGCTATTCAATTAAATTAGTCCTTTTAGTTTTGTTCTATATATAATTTTCAGCGAGTATCATTATTATATTCTATTATTATATTATATATCATTATTATATTATAGCGAGTATAATTATTATGGACGTGTAGGAAAATAAATTGAAACGTTAGAATTTTCATTAGGCGTTAGATTGATAAATGAAACGTATTTTCTAAGTATAGTGGCAAAAAAAGTAGACACCACTTGACTTTATAGAGCGTTATTACAATTTTATGTAATTTAAAGTTAAATTTAACTGTCAAAATAATATCTATTGTTTTTAATTTAAGCTATTATACATGAATTTTGTATATAATTCAACTTTAAACAATTAATTAAGTATAGCATATCGAACTAAACAAATAATGATGTATCCATAAAATACCACCGTAAACAACTGAAGGCTTTATTAAACAATAGGTCACCTGCATTTTTGATAATGATCGAGCCCGCTGCGGGTGTATAAACTAACAAATGATCATATAAAAATAAAGCAATATGTCATTCATTAATTTCAAAAATATTTTAAGGAAATTCATTTCAAACAAAAATATACTAATTTTAATATGTAAATAATATTTTGAATGTATAAATAAAAAACAAACTAATATAATTAAATTGAAAATATAATAAAAGAAAAGCCATAAATAGATAATTAGAATGGTCGGTTCCTATAGCAGTTAAATTTAAAACTACTAATATAGTAAATTTTAATTTGAAAATAGAAAGGTATATTATTATTAGTAAACAATTTATGAGCAATTGATATTGTCGAAATGTTCAATAAACTTTATATTAATGAGCATTAATTGCTGTTAAGATTATTATTATTATTTTTATTGTTCTGAAATGGTTCGTTCAAATAATAGATTTTCAGAGTGAACATTTAAATATTTTATGTACATAACAAATTAAATTAAATTTCATCAAAATTTATCGGGTCATGAGTATTCATGAATCTAATAAGCGAAGAATTATTTAAATTAATTAATTTATGAATTATATTATATTAATTATTTTAGCTGAAAATGTGTTAAAAAAATTCATCGTGGCACAATGAGGACACTGCATAGTTGGGTTAAGTAAAGATGATACCTGACAGTGATTAAAATCATTATTATAAAAAACGCTTCGATGCAAATCTGTAGTCAGTGTTTAATTTTTTGATAGACTTGTTGGGTTATTCTAAAAGCATTTTCTATTTCCATAATTATATCCTGATTAATAAATCAGGAATTTTTTATAGTACTTTGTTCGTTTATTTGATATTAATATTTAAAGTTTCGATTCTTTGAGTATAGTTATAGGTTATACACTGTTAACCGGCAAAATGATAATTGACAAAAACTGTTTAATAATAATTAAAAATAGCCCGGTAGTGAATACTAGTGTTCATCATCATTAAGAGTATATATCTATAACTATAATAAATGAATCGAAACTTTAAATTATTTTATAAAATAAACGGACAGAATTAAAAAAAAGTTCAAACACTTTGATTTAAAAAAAAAATTTCTATCGATTGATCAAATTAAGAATTAATTATTAAAAATAATCAGTGTAAAATATAATTTTTAACCTGTATTTGATTCTTTAAAGTTGTTTTTAGGGATAGTTTCTAATACAACAAAATTAATTTAACCATAACTTTTAGCTCAACTTGCAGGTTTGAAATTGACATTAAATAGAAAATTTTATGAATATTAAAAAAATGTTATTGTTAAGATTAATATGCAGTCAGGAAATTTTCTAATTACTATTTATAGTAAATTTATCAGAAAAGCTCAATATTTTATTGCATTTTTATCGTAATAGATCACTTAAATAGAAATAATATAATCATTTCCTGGTAACTTTTGGTGTTTAAAAAGATTTTACAATTGAAATAAAAAAACCTATTAATTAAATTTATTTTGCATATTTATATCGACATTTAATGATTTAGTGTTGTAATTTTTACAAAGAAATTATAAAAAAAACGTAAGATCGATTATTCTGATCCTCACTAATTAATTGTAATTTCAGTTATAAAATCTAAATTGTAATTTATCATAAACCATAAGTAGCTAGAGCATTTTTTTTTTGGAAAGGGCAATCCCTTTCCTTTTAATATATTTGTTGTTTTGACACCAAAAAAAGTTTAAAAAATGCTGAAATTTATCGATTTTAGAAGTCATTACTCTATTAATGTGGCCTCATTTTGTATTGTATTTTAAAATGAAAAAAATTAATGTTTTGTATTAAATTGAAATTTAGAAAAAATGTGCACAATGAAAATTTCAAATTAAATAATATTTAACATTTCAAAAAATATATTTAATAAATATATTTTTTGAAATGAATGGTTGTGGTCTCACATTCTTTTTTTATAGCTTTGAAATACATAGAAAATAATTAGTGTTAATATAAAAATAGTTTCAACTAACTCCCGTTTCTTAATATGCCAATACAGTTTACACTAATTTCTTAAAAACATTTCTAGGTATTGCGATTTTTCACAAATATCGCACTTTTAAATTTTATGTCTTTTTTTACCACGTAAACAAGTGTTGAAGATACATTTTTTTAATAAAGTACAATAAATAAGCTAATTTATGATATACATTAAGGAGTCAAGAATTCAGGAACATTTTTAAAAATTAAGTTGAAAAAGTTCTATTTTTTATATATGTTTTTCAAATTTTTAACGCCCTTTTCCTAAGAAAAAAGTTATTCTAATTCGTTCATTTTTTAAAAAAGTTATCACAGTTTTAAGAAAAAAAGTTAAAAGGAATGTCGAAATTTCAAGATTTTTAAAAAAGTAATTTTCTATGCATTATCCTATTTACAGGAAATAAGGAAATTTTTTTTAATATTTGAGAGTAATTTCATCAATTAGATACAATTTGCGATCTTTTGGCGTATCGTTGAAAGGATTGACCCAATGAGAGCTGAGAAAAAAGAATGATAGATAAAAAAATATATAAACACATCATAGTAAAAATAATACTTTCTAGGCTTCACATTGAAGCTAAAAACTATTATAAGAAGAGAATTTTTTTTTTAATTCGACTATCAAACTACATCTGTTGTATGCTAATGGAAATATTTACTTTAATAAAAGTATATATTAAACAGCTTGTACTCAAATTTGATAAATTCTTTCAACTCACCTTTAAATTCTGCAACCAAAATTTCCTCTTTAGCTTTCCAGCCTGTTGTTCAAATTGCGATGCTCCTTGCTGTAAAGCATCTAAAATATATATATATATATATATATAACAACTTTTAAAGGAATTAGTATGACAAATTATTTACCTGCTCTATCATCGAGTTCAGATAGTTTTTGATCCCTGTCCAAAACTTTCATTACGTTTGTCTTCATAATATCTACCACCTAAAGAATATACATAAGATGATTAATTCACAGCATAAATATAGCATTTCTTGTCCATTTCACTCAAACATCAATTGTATGCGCACCCCAAAAATATCAACTGTTACGACGGTATCTAAAAATCAAAGCCTCCCCCCTAAGCATGCCACTACGTTAATGTATTAATTGTACTAACTTCGTCTACTTGTGCTTGTGTTTGTTGCAACCGTTTCTGTGCAGCTATTTGCTGTGGCGTCTTTGGTCCTCCAACCACTGTGTCATCTCCCGTCGTCAGTCCAGTTCCGGTACCGTCAGCCCTACAACACAAATCAAAAATTAAAATTCATCAGTTAAAAATCTAGACTTTTTTTTCTTCCTGAAGTACAATTTTTTGTGGAACGTTTTTTATTTTTATTACATCGAGTATATATGTCCATATGATGAAGATAGTATAGAATAATAGTAATTGACCCAAACTTCTGATCTGACACCATAATAATCAGAAAAAGTTACAGAGTTTATAGTTTAAATTAGTGAAAATTCCATTTCGGTGGATCTAGAATATTGTTTCGTTTATTAAGGATTTTTCGGCTCTCATTATTGAATTGCTACTTTTATTTTTATAAAACGATTTATTAACATTAAGGTCATGTTTACGCCTGTAAATAATATGCATTTTTGATAGACGTGACGGCTGTTTATGTTACAAACTAGTTCAGTAGAGATTAAAAATTGAAAAATTGTAAACATTTAGTTAATTCTTGAGGTTTTGTAAATATACACTCTGACGTGTTTAAAATTGAATGACGTTTAGGACTGACGAAAAGTAACAATCGACCCGTAATGCATCTCTCTATAGAAAAATCCATTGCAAAAGATTACTTTCCTTTTAATATACACGAGGAAAAAATTAAAAAAAAGGGCACCGCGGGTCAAATTTGTCAATCCGGTGTAGGTCAGTAATGGTAAATGCAAAATTTTGAAAATATTCAAGATCTAAAATAGGAGGGGGTTTGCAGCGGCGTACATCGGCCATGTTTGGGCGTTAAAAGACGATAATAAACAGTATCAAAAGTTACAAAGTTCGATGTTATTAAGTACGTTATCATAGTACTCACATGATGTCTTCCGAAAAGCAGTTGGCACCTGACGTTTGATGTGTCGCTGAGTTTGAGAATGACACAGGCACGCCAAATACGCGTTGGCCAGCGGTCGTAGCGATCGCGAGATATGCGAGCAAGGCACTGTGGCGGAGCTTTGCCGTGTGAACAGTACACGAACGCCGCGCGTCTGGCCTATCGATCTGTCACGCCGCCCTTGTCTCACCGGCAGCTCACCCTGCTCCATCCCTTAAAGGGGAACACTTCTCCCGCATCCCTTATACCGCCCTCGCACGGAAAACCTATACATTATAGTGCCGCTGCTGAATCAGTGAACCCTCGATCGTGGGCGTCGCGATTGTCCCGCGCGTTAATGCTCAGAGTTTATACATCAAAAGAATACAACACACCGCGTCACCGACTCTCCTTTATAGTCAATTCAATACGTGCACGTTTTCTGTATGAAACTCAACACGAATTTAACAGTCTAATCTACACTACCTTTTAGGACCTATGTCATGTGTTACCTGACAATTGACAAATGACATTTAACTTTAGTCGGCTAAAAACGTCAATCAAATGTTTGATAATTAAGCTATATAATTCGTATTTTCAAATTAATACTAAAACACTTTACAAGTGTTTAATTTAAGAAAATATTCAAAAAGGATGTTTTAATTTAATATCTCAAGTAGGCTCGAAGCGGCTTGTCTTTCATCCAAAATACCAACCTAAATACATAGAAAAGGGGATTATTAAAGATTTTAGCACTTCAGGCTAATAAATAATATTTTTTAATCTAAAAAACCCAGCACAGGGGGGTCGCGGCACAGTGGTGACGTGGCATAGTTGGATCAAGTATAATGATATCTGACAGTGATTAAAATCACTATCAAAAAAAAACGCTTCGATGCAAATCTTTAGATAGTGTTTAATTTTAAAAAATTGGTGGATTATTCCAAAAGCTTCATAAACTGCTAGTTCCTTATTAATATCCTGATTAAGACAAAGTATGTCGAATAAAAAAGAGATTATTAGAAAATAGTATTTCCCATAAAAAAATTATATTGATCAATACACTTTTCAATAAGTTATAGCATTATAAAGTTAAAAATGTAAAAAATAAAATTGAGAATTTTCACACAATAATAGCATTTGGTAGCCATTTTCACCGTGAAGACAAAATAAAGTCCGAAATTTTTTTTTTTACATAATAAAGTAGATTACATTAGCTTTAATTTAATATATATAGAAAAGTGTCAGACTTTCCGGAACACTTTCAAAATTTAAGTTGAAAAAGTCAATTTTTTGTAAAAAAAATTATACCAAATGATAGGTAATGACATCATGCATCTATAAAAAAAAGAATTATATTGATATGTTTATTTTTAAAAAAGTTATGGCAGTTTTTAGTAAAAAAAATTTCAAAAATTAGCGATTTTTAAATTTGTAATTTTTTTGGAGTTTTCCTCCATTTACGGGGAACGAGGGAATTTTTTTCAATTTTTAAGGGTAATGTCTTCGACTAGATACGATTTGTGATCTTTTGACGTATCGTTGAAAGAAATCGGTTCGGTGAGAGCTGAGAAAAAGTGGTAACAGACACAAAAAAAAAAAAACATCTTAGTAAAACCAATACCTTCTCAGCTTCGCATCGAAGCTAAAAGTTTTTAATTAGGTAAATGTGCTCCAAAGTTATCCTTATTATAGCTGGCAGAGGCGTAATCAGGATTTCATAATGAGGAAGGACAGCTAAAAAATGTCCAAAAATCGATATTTGAACTTTTTTTGGTTTGGTCATTGGTGGAAAAAATAATACAATCTTAAAAATTGATGCTATAAAACGGATATTCCTTAAGTAGTAATGAAACGAATTTCCAGATATCTTCATTATTACAGGATATTTAAAAATAAGTTAAAATTTATGTTAATAATCAAAATAAACACTTATAGAAAGAAATTCTCTTCGTTTTGACTAACGGGGTATTTTTATACTAGCAAAGTAAAATTTATTTTAATCTATCAACAAATATTTAATATTTAAATTCACTTTAGTTTTTCCCCTCATATGCGTTCGTTCAACTCTGACAAAATTTTAGTTTCAATTACGTTAGTGAAAGTTAAAAAAAAATTTTTTTTTACTCACTTAGGAGCGATAAAGAAAGTATTATTTGACTTATTTTGTATATATGCAAGCATGTGTTATGATTGAATTATACAGTTACTAAAGGACGCATGTCAAAAAAACTTGTTTTTGTAAATTTGCTTTTTTTGAACAAATGACCTTAATAGATAGGAAAAAATAAACTAAAAATTTAACATGCATCCTTTTGAAACTAGACGACTCATTTGTTTTGTCTGTTGTAATATTGACTTACAAGTGGTTTTATTTATTTTTTTTATAATTGAAATGCTTTTTAAAAATAACTATTTCATGGAATTTAATAATGTTTAAATACTCTTAGATTATTTATATATAAATAATACTAATGTACTATATGTACAACATTTTGTAAATACAATAAGATAAATTATATAGGAATCAAAAATTTAATCTAGTTAAGTTTAATCAGTGAAAGTTATCATTAAAAACATAAAGGCGAGGGAACATAGATTTATGCAAAAAATAAACTGTGTTAATTAATAATGTTTTAGTGGATCGAAATATTTACAGATATATGCATTTATGATTTTAAGTATATGGTCAAAAGAAACTAATATATAAGGTAAAAATAAAAAATAAGATGACATTTATTTACCTATAAATATTTTAAAAATATTATATTATATGATAATTTATTTTCATGATTTTTATACATATACACATATAAAAAAAAAGATGGAGCTAGAATATATTTATAATCATTTTAGTGACAAACAACATATGAATCATTTATATTTTGATTCATTTTCAGAGTAAATTATTCCGGGATGGCTTTTAAATGAAATAACAAAATTTTATTTAAAAACAACTGTATCTAGCATTGAACCTAAACACTGAATAATATTAGCTGACATTAAGTTATCCACTTTTTCTTCTAAGTGTCTTTTGGGGTCTTGTTTTCCTACATTCTTGATAGCTAACTGTTCTGGTGTCATTTTATCTTCATCTTCTAAAGCCTACACAAGAAATAATCTTTTTAAACTATGCAATTTTTAAAATACTTAATCACAAGTTTTTATACCTTATTATAACTCTTTGCTAGTTCTAACATTTCTTTAACAGTTGATCGATTTGCATCACAATGTTTTTCATAATCTTGAAGTGCCATTCCATCCATCCATGATTTTTTATGCAAATTTAACAACATTTTCTGTTCAAGTTCATTTTTACGATAATTTATTGATATGGAATAATAATGTCTATTTAAACCATGAATCAAAGCCTATTTAAAATTTTAAAGAATTTTTAAATTTAAATATTAATTAACTATGAACACCAAATAATAATGCTTATACACATTTAAAAAATATAAAATAAATAATATTTCAGACCAATTTATGTTTAAAGTTTATTCAATGGAAAGAATTCATATAGTTTTCTATAAGAAAACAAAAAAAAACATTTATTTTATAAATCTGAAAACATTTTAATCTAACATTACATACTATATTTATAAGTTTTAAAAAATGTTTTAGATTTTTAGAGAAAAATAATTTTCCTTTTAAACAGTTATACTAATTGTTAGTTTGTATTTGTTTGTGTAATTTTGTAAAAAAAAAAAAAAAAAAAATTTTATCTAACATTGAATTTATGAGTATTTATATTAAAAAACTTTTTAGTTTATTAAAATCTTGATTTTAAAATGAATAATATTTTCAGACAATAATTATGAAATTGTTAACTAAAATAATGTTAAGTAAACTTATATTGTTAAACTAATTGAGTAATTCAAGTGGATTGAAAAAAAAAAATGATATTTTACTTACAGGATAATTACACTTAAATCTAAAATTAATATTTTAACAATTTTCAAATTTCATAACAGCATTTGCAATTTATAAAATTTTAAATGCTCAATGACTTAGTGTTTCGCGTAAACAGGGATGATATCTTCCATGATAATGAAGATGAAATTGTTGTAAACATATACAATTTTTAAAATTAAATTTAAAGAAAAAAATGTTTTAATTGATGTTTCAATACTTTACATTAAAAAATAAGTATAAATCTTATATTTTTATTTACTTGAACTGAGGGTTTCTGTAAATGTCCTAAATTACTCGTAGTTTGCCTTGGCTCTTGTCCTAGTACCATCATGTTAGGATTAATTAACCGGAAAGCATCAATAACAACTTTACCTAAAAACAAATTTTAGATAACAGATTATATTACTATGTTTGTAGAAAACATTTTATATTAAATTTTTTTAGAATGTGGAATGCTAAAAAAATTTAATAGAAATTGATTACTTGAAAGAATAATTATAATAAATATCATAGAACTCAAAGAATAGTGTTCAAAAAACATTTTATTAAGAGAAATAGGGTTCTTAAACATAGTCAATCAATATTAAAATTGTTGCACACCAATAAAAAAACTATTCAATACAAAAAAAAAAATATATATATATATATAGTTTATATTGATTAAATGAAGAACAATTTTTTCAATTATATTATTATTATTAAACATACTTTGAGTATTGGGTAATTCTTTGAAAGAAAACTAGAACTAAGAACTATTATTTGATTAAAAATCTTTAAACTTATTATCTCAAATATTAAGTAACATGTTTAACCTTTAACACTTTGGATAGGATCAACAACAACTGCTACTGCTCTTTCTGAGAGAGCTTCAAAACTTTGCTGAGTGTTTATATCAACACCTGATAGCCAACAACCAAAACCAGGATGTGAATGGTACCATCCAACAACCATTTCAGGTCGACCTGTTTGTTTCAACATATCCAACATTTTTGCTTGGAATACAGGGTCAACAGCTTCAACACTTACACCCTAATATAACAAATATATATTAATAAAAAATATATAATTTATATATATATATATATTAATCTAATATAATTTAAAAGGTAAGTAAATATAGTAAAATAAAATAACATTTATGAAAGTTTTTTTTTTATAAGTAAATAATATAATAATATAAAACAATACGCCTTTAAGAAAAATATAAAACTTATACCACAAACAATTATAAAAATTGTTTAAATCACTATCTTAATGTAAGTAAGGTGACAAATAAATGGTTTAAAAGAATCAATATATTCAATGATTTTACAATTGGAAATTTCATTTAATTATTTATACACAATTTATATCCTAGGCAAATTGTTAATACTTAAAAAAAACTTTCATATTTTTAAAGTAACAAAAAAAAAAAAAGAAGTTATTATTTTACTTCAAACTTTATAAGAAGTTGATAATTTTCCTACTAAAAAATAGTGTCTCAAACTAAAAACAAAAAGGTTATAAAACTAATTTTTCCACTTCCCTAAAAAAATATTGAACCTTTTGTTTCTAGTTTGTAAAAGTCTCATTAGAAGATATTTCTCAAGTAGTTATACAACAGAAAGAAATAAATGCTTTTTAAGTTGATCATTTTTAAATATTTACTGTTCCAGTTTGTGGCATAGCAAACACATCAATGACGCGTACAGTATAGTCATCTACAAATTCACCCAACATCAAACCCATAACTTCCATAGGAACTCCAGCCCGTCCATGTTTTAACATTTTCAATAATGCCAATGAAGAAATGTATACTTGCTCAGCCGTGTCTACAACTGGTGTATCTGCAGCAGGAGCTGATCCTTGGCCCAAGCCAGGCATTGATCCACCCAATCTCAATAAACGATCCATTTGTATAATTTTCTAAAAATACCATTAAAAAATATTTATTTATAAAAAATAATAATAAACTATTAGTAATTAAGTTTATAATATTTTTATTAATTGTTAATATCTTTTAAAATTCGAATAATTATAATTTTATTTAAATAACTTACATAAGGACAAAAAATTAGTATTTCAGTCTTAAAAATACTGTCTGTAGAATCAGAATTGTGAATTCGAAAAATGATTATGCGAATTTGACAACAAACTAATCACATAACCTAAAAAAACTATAGCTTCGTTAATAAGTGAGGTTAATTCTTATCTTATCAGATTAACATAATAGACTGATAACTTTTATGAGTTATGAATATTAAAATTTTAGAATAATAATTTAGAAAATGTATAATTTTAATAATTGAATACAAATTTTTAATCGACCCTAAACAGTGAAAAAAATTAATAAAATTTAATTTGTTTAAGTGTGAGTTAGCAGATTTTTCGAATTCATTAGGTGTGACTTTAACAATTTAACCACCTAATGTTTTTCTTATATCGTGTACGCTCGTTAATTATTGTAGAAAGTTAATTATTCTATCAACCAAAATGTTTGGAAGCTCACAAGAAAAAGAACATAGAACACCTCGGTACGCAGGAGGTCCTCATGGATTGGGTAGTTTCATTTTATTTTTAGTATTGTACTTCTTTTTAAGTTTTTAATTTTAGGAGATCCAGATGATTATAATTTACGGAAAATTGAAGAAAATGTTCTGATTCCTAAAGTAGTTCGTGAACGAGCCAAATATGAAAAATGTGCTGAATTGAATAAAGGTATTACTATATTTTCTACCAAAAAATGTAGTTGTATTTTATAATAATTTCTTTATTATATTATTAGCATTTGGAGACTGTTGTTTAAATACTGGATTTTTTGCATTTTACAAATGCAAAGTACAAGTCAGAGAACTTAATGAATGTATGGCGAAATGGTTTACAGATGAAACATTTATAAAGGAATGTAGAGATAATTATTTAAAAGAAAGAAAAGAGTATAGATTGACTGGAATAAGAAAGTCTGAACAGAAAATAAAAAGTTAGTTATAAGATAACCATAGAAATGTAGTATTTTTATTTGTATATCTAATAAATTATTATATAAATTTTAACATAATTAATCTTGATACATTATATATTTTTTCTATTTTGAGCTGGTACCCAACGTTTTATTATTGTCTCTTTTATGGTATATTTGCTCATGTCAATTGTGTTAGATTCTTCAAAAGTTGGGCCAACAATTGTGCATAGTAATAAATCTTTACTAGCTGCTTCTGTCATACGTACACAACCCAACATTTCAGACCAAGATGATAATTTTGTTTTATGACCATTAATATCAATAATTACAACATAGGAAGAATGGTAATATACTGGTGAAATTTTGTACAATACTAAAAGAAAGAAAAATCAAATTTTTCTAAATGAATTTAAAACACATTTATATTTTAAGAATAATTACCAAAATCACCACCATATTGAATGCCAGACTTCACTACCCATTCTTTAGATCTATAATAATGATATGCAGCATAAAGAAATGGAAAACTGGGTTTTAATGAACTAAATATTCTCCAGCATTCATCTTCATTGAAAACTGTATTATCTTCATTTTTAATTTCTAGGCACTCAAGTGTATGTAAGAGAAAAAATGCTTCTTCTAGTTGTAAATAATATATACCATCTTTTTTTTGTCCTGACAGTATTTCAAGACTTTGTAATTTATCCGGAAAATTATCTTTAAGATCTTTCCAATTGGTAGGAATATTTACATCATTGTTACCAATCTCATCATATATATCATTGCAGTTTTCCGAAAAATTAAATGGTATCAATTGCATTGATTTCCAATTAGTTTTACATTTTATAGTTTTGTTTTTGCATAATCTATAAGAAGAGCATATATTTTGATGAGGTAAAGTAGACTGACCAAAACAACCCTAAAAATATCATGGATTACAATATTAATATAAATAATATGATAACCATATTTCTTACTTTATTATTAAGGTGAGCGATTTCGTTTAAGTTTTTAATTATCACTGTTTGCTGTCCAAGAATTCCATGAAATTTTGGCCAGGGATTTACTATTGTTCTATCGTCGTTGTAAATAGGAAATGGTATAAAAGTTGTGTCCACTTTTTTTTTCAATACTGGTGGTTTCAAAGAAAACATTTTTTAACTTTGAAAGAATAAACATAAGTTTGTGATAATGATAAACTTATATAGAAAAAAAAGTTTTTTTTTTATTAAATATAAATATAATTATTATATGATAAACAGAAAAATAAACATATTACATTTTTTATAATTTTCTGTTGCAAAATTTTAATTTTGGTAGTGTAATATCAGATAATATGAAATTTTACATAATCTGTCTTATATCGTATATTCTATTATCAACTATTAAGTGTAATATACGAAAAAGCAGTGTAGGTAAACTTAAAAACAAAAATATTAGGAATGCTATCATAATAGACGACACTTGATGTAATATCAAAAATGAAATTGAATCATTATAATGAGATAAACAATAATGCTATTAATGGGCGAATATGTACTATTAATAATAATAATACCTGAGGCACGTTTTACTCAAGTATTAAGACTATAAATATAAAATACAAATATTTAAATCAAAGTATTGACTTTTTTTTTTGTGCCGCCTTGTACCATATTTTTCGAATATTGAGCACTTGACAGTTTTTTTTCACAATCTCTATAATACTACTATTTTACTTTTTATTAATATATATATTTTAAAAAACTGACTCTTTTCGTGCTCACAGGGGAAATTTAAATTTTACTTCTCTTTCATAAAAAGATATTCTTTTCAACTTAACATTTGTAAATATTCCATTCCAAGTTCATACATAAAAGAAAAGAATTATTGTCAATAACGTATAGCACGAAAAGAGATTATCCACAGTGGTCTTAAGATACTCTGCCCTACAATACATTCCATTTCGTCTATTATATTCTAAAATATTTTCTATTTCTTTTTACAAATACAAAGTTAATAATACAACCATTTCCAAAAATGTTTATAATTATTTACATTATAATTATTATTATTATAATTATTATAATTATTTACATTATAATAATTATAATGTAAATTACAATATAGTTAAATTAAACAATTATTGTTTGTCCTGTTGTTACTTTTATTTAAATTTGTTATAACTTTTTAAAAAATAAATGAATCATAAAATCTTTCCAATTGATAAAAAAAATTTGATACCCTTTTAAGGTAGTTGATAAACAAGAAACATATTGAAACTAAAAAATACCAAAAAGGATTTCTTAACATAATGGAAACATACATACTTAACTAGCTTATAAAATATTGAATGATATAAGTAAAAAAATTACTGGTCGATAATAACTTTTGACTCATTATTTCGGAAGTTATAAATTATTTTAAAATAATGAGTAGAGGTGAAGTGTGGGTTTTGTTAATTTTATCATTACGTATTACTCTGTCGGCCTCATGCTCTACTCTATATTTAAAAAACGGTAGCACAGTGGGATCGAGTCATAGATGGGACAATTATAGATGATATCTAACAGTGATTAAAATCACTATCATAAGAAACGCTTCGATGCAAATCTGTAGATAGTGTTTCATTTAGAGAAATTGATGGATTATTCCAAAAGCAACATCAACTCTTATTTCTTTAATTATATCCTGAAAACTGTTTGTTACTTTAAATAAATGCACTGAACTACAAGGAACTTTCATCAGAAGCAAAAATATATTTTTCTAAATCAATTTTTCGCGTTGTTTTCAAATCTGCAATTAGATTTTTTCTATCACTTCTAATTTTTTATATTATTACTTATTACATATAAAATAATAATTAAAAGAATTTGTTTTCAAATTATTACTGATTTGATTTTTAATATGTTAAAAATAATCAGTCCAAATTTTCATTTTTAACCTATTTTTTTGGTTGGATTGATGAAAATTTTTTGATAAAGTTTTATGAAAGTTTATAATAAAAAAAATTGAATATGTTACCATAACTTATAGCTCAATTACAAGTTTCAAATTGACATAATTAAATAGAAAATTTTATGAGAATTAAAACAATGTTAATTTTAAGATTAATATGCAGTCAGGAAATTTTATAATTACTATTTATAGTATATTTATCAGAAAAACTCATTATTTTTTTGCATTTTTATCGTAATAGAACACTTAAATAGAAATCATAGTNTTTTGCATTTTTATCGTAATAGAACACTTAAATAGAAATAATAGAAATCATTTCTAAGTAACTTTTGGTATTTAAAAAGATTCTACAATTGAAATATCCAGAACTGAATGAATTTTAATGATTTACTTTAACTAAAAAAAAAAAGTTATTATTTTGAATCCCTTTTGTGGACAGGTAAAGGGTTAGATTTATATAAAAAAACACTAAATGATAGGTAAAGACATGCATCTATATAAAAAAAAAATATACTGATTTGGTCATTTTTGATAAAGTTTAAATTTATCCCGATTAGTTATTTGATTTATAATTATAATATATGAATAAATAATAATTATAGTAATTAAGTTTAGTATAAAATTGATATTCAATAATTTAATATTGTAATTTTTATAGAAATATTATAAAAATAATAAAGTAGTTGTATATTTCTTTACTTTTAACGCGTAAAAAAATTTAAAGGGATTGATGCAATAATTTTTAATAAAAAATTTTTGTTACTTATGAATAAATACACTGGACTACAAGGAACTTTCATCAGAAACAAAAATATACTTTTCTAAATCATTTTTCGCGATGTTTTCAAATGTGCAATTAGACTTTTTCTATCAATTCTAAGTTTTAATATTATTAAAAAATAGTATTTACATATAAAAAAAAATAATTAAGAACAAAAAAAATTTTTTTTAAATTAATACTGATTTTGATTATTAATAAATGATTATTAATCCTATGTTAATTCAGGAGAAATTAACTATCATTTTTTTTAGAAATGATTTATATAGCAACATGTTACCAACAAATTTGGAATATTATAGTCTAGTAGTAGCTCACACAAATAGAGTAAAAAAATAATTAAATTACAAAATTAAATCATTTTACTTTGTAATTTAATCATTTTTTTATAATTATATAATTATTATATGTATGGATATAAGTAATTGTTTCATTGATAAATTAGAATTTTTTTTCAATTTTTGAGGGTAATATTTTCAACTAGATATGAATTGTAGTTATTTGACGTATTGTTGAAAAAAGTAGGTCAAGTTAGAGCAGAGAAAATAAATGATAGTCACAAAAAAATATCTTCTCATCTTTGCTTCGAAGTTAAAATCTAAAATATAGTAAAATAATTTTAATATGAATAAGAAATTTCTTCTCGCCAGTGGCGACTACAGTGATGGGATCCTTAATCTTTATTGAAGTTATTGAATCTAAATGAGATAAAAATCAAAGCAGTTGAAAATTTATTTTAACTAAAAAAAAATAAAGAAAAAATTCATTGCCATACGCAGGTTGGAACCTTGTACCCCAAGTGTGTAAACACACAAGTTTTACCAACTCGGCAACAGTACGTTGCTATCACCGGCTGAAAAAATTGTCTATTTAAGCTAGTTAATTTTCTCAACTTCAAAAAGCAAAAAAATTTAAATAAGTTTAACTTTCTATGCTATATTAATTTTTTATTTATCATATTTATGAAAATCTGTACTCCCCTTGTCAGGTATTTTAAAATAAAATAAAATACAAAACCCAGAATTTTAACACAAAAATATTTTTTAATACGGTAGTCATTTTTACCACGAAGACAAATCCAGAGGTCAATTTTTTTTTTCAAATTAAAGTATATTATATAAGCTTCAATTTAAGTTATATACAAAAGTGTCAGTATTTTCAGAATACTTTCAAAAATTAAATTGAAAATGTCCTAGTAACAATACGCATGTTTAAAGTTTTGACCCACCTTGTATAAAGGGGTATGATTCGATTTACAAAAAAAGTGTGTCAGATGAAAGGGGTATATAAAAATGATTTCCAATCTCTCCAATCACGTCTTCGCCTATTGTCACTGGTCTCCTTATTGTACATACCTCGTGTTCTCTTTTATCAAAAAAGTACTCTATATACTCTGTCTTACTTCTACTTATTCTTAAACCCTGTTCTTCAAGAGCTGATCTCCACACCTCTAACCTTTGATTAATTTGCTCCCTATTTTCTTTTATTAAAACTATATCGTCAGCAAACAACATGCACCATGGCACCTCTCCTTGTATTTCTCCAGTAATTTCATCCATTACTATAGAAAATAAGTAAGAACCCTAGCAACCCTGATGCACTCCTACTCTTACCCTAAAACCTTCCGTTACTCCTCCCACACTTTTTACGCTAGTACTAGTGCCATCATACATATCCTCTATTATATTAATGTACCTTTTCGGGACATCTTCTCTCATTAATGCCCACTTTAGAATTTCTCTCGGTACTCTAACATATGCTTTCTCTTGGATAATCCTCATTCAGTATTTTCAAATAATAATTAGATAACTAAAAACTAAAAACACTAAAATTATCCAATGTTGTAGCAAAAAACAATTGATACATGACATAATGTGTAAATTAATATTTTTTCGATTCCATCTTTCAATACAATTATTTGGGATTTTATCCAGTCGTAGAAATTGTACACTTGCCTTTGTTTATTACTTGTACAAGTACTAGCATACTTAATAAGTACACCAGTCATGGGAACCCACCTTATACTGTAATAAAAAGAAAAGAAAAAACAGAAAGTGAGGGGTAGTGGTAGGATGTTGTGAAAATGGGAGGAAAGGGTTATAAGTTATTTGGATTGTGTTGGATTCATTCTTATCATCTTAATTCTACCTTTTATCCACTCTGTCCTATGTCTTAATATTACATGAATATAGTGCATGACTTACGATTATACTTACCTTAATATCCAATTGGACTCGTAGGTAAATGATGAATTGTGATGTTCCTTGTTGACGTTGATATTTTAAGTTAATTTAAATAAATAAAAATACTGGTATGAGGGGTAACATACTGACTTTATTTCTATTTTTTTTATTAATTATTTTAACAAATGTATATAAGTCTTATAATTAAAATTAACAAAAGTAACATGAATTTTACATTATTAACTTTTAATATGAAAATGTAAGAGTATAGAGGAATAATAAGTGAGAATGAAAGTGAGAGTATGCGAGTTTGTGTGTCTGTGCTAATTGTACTAGCCCTTTTATATTAAACTAGTTGGTAAGGTGATAAAAGGAGGCTAGTTTTTCTTAAGAATTTAACTATTTAATCCTGCCGTTTGTTCGGCGCCACAGATACTCTTATGGTAATTAAAAAGATGGACATTAATGTAAACATCGCTTCAAATGAACGATATATTTGTAAAAAGTTATAAAATAATTGTCGGTCAGAAAAGAATTTAAAATTGATAATTATTTACATGGAAAGATTATTCTAGAAGTTTCTCGAATATTCTCAAACTTCTATTTTGATTCATTACAAGATGTACCTCAATTTTTTTTGCAGCATGTCCTCATGCTGTGTTATAATGTGCAAACTTAAAATTAATGTTAATATTACTTATATTGTATGTTAATAGGGTGACTAGATTACATTCAAAGCAGCTTTTGTAGCTGTTACATTTAAAATATATAAGAAGTTATACAAACATAAAGGCTATGGTCTTTTTTCTATTTGTGTGTTGATTGAAGTGTTGTGGATAAAAGTGTATTTCTTTATTTTTGTTATGACACGTTTGCATTAATATCAAAATACAGTATTCTATATAAATAGTATCCTTATGTAATGTATTTTTTTGTATCCTCCCTTTTTTTTTTTGAGATTACAGCAATAACATTCTTTTAAAAATGTGGCATGGTTCTGCAGTATGTTGTGTAATATTTTGTTTAAGATTGTTACCCTTTGGCGGTTTATGCAACAAAAAATATTTTAGTTGAAGTTGAGTTGTGTGTTGCTTGTGATTATTTAAAACGTGTAAATTTGTTGATTTCTCAACAATTATCAAATAATTTCTCAAATAATTGTCGGTCAGAAAAGAATTTATAATTGATAATAATTATCAATTATTAAATAATTATTATTCACGTGGAAAGATTATTCTAGAAGGTTCTCGAATATTCTCAAACTTCTATTTTGATTCATTGTTGTGTTACCACCACTTTATAAAATAATTTATCTTGTGAATATAAATATATATATATGATTGATAGGGACATCCGCCTGCGGAAGTCCCCTTGATTTTGGCTATATCAATGTTTTCTAGCGTTAGTCAGTCTAGTGTCTAGTGTCTACCATTACAGAATAAACTTTATAATTGTAAAACATATTCTTATTTTGATGTGTTATTATGAAAGTTTACTTTATATATATATATATATATATATATATATATATATACATTTATATTAATTGTTATANACCAATTTTGTTGGAGCAGATAGAATGTTGCGCCAGTTTGTAAACAACCCCGACATTCGTAATAATTGGAGTGCTGCCATACCTTGTATGTGGAACTTTAATCCCCCAAATGCCTCTCACTTTGGAGGCCTTTGGGAAACCGCGGTGAAATCTATGAAGGCACTTCTATATCGGACTATGGGATCGCACTTGTTCACTCTGGAAGAGTTCGGCACTATTATTACCCGCGTTGAGGCTGTGTTAAACTCGAGACCGCTAACCCCAATGAGTGATGACCCAAACGACACAACGTGTTTAACTCCTGGTCATTTTCTCATAGGTCAACCACTTTTAGCTCCACCAGAGGAGTTAGTCTCTGAAACTCAACGCACGATCACTCAACGATGGAAGTTGCTCAAGCAATGCCATCAAGCATTTTGGAAAAGATGGACCGTTGAGTATTTGAATTGTCTTCAAATTCGGAGCCGATGGACTAGAGGGGATCGAAATTTGAAGGTCGGTGATTTAGTGATCATTAAGGAAGATCATGCACCTCCGTTAAGATGGCATCTCGGTCGCGTTGAAAGGGTATTTCCCGGTGATGATGGTGTGGTGCGGGTCGTCCAGTTGAAAACCATCAATGGATGGATAAATCGCCCAGTGGTGAAATTGGTGCCTTTGCTGTCATCTTAGTTCTTATAGTTATTTATTTATTTATTTTTTTTGATTTATTCTTTCCTGTGCTCTTGTGCTCTTACCAACACATGTTTTCCATGTTCTTTTCAAATACAATCTTACCAATTAATTATTAGGACCGCATCACGGGTCACGGGGATTAACTTAAGTACCCATCTGGTTACCAGGCGTTACCCATTCATGTAAATTATTGTTATACCTTTTAGTTGTTAAAAAATATTGTTTCTCTTTATGTGTATTTTGTATGTTTATAAAATTATATATTTATGTAAAAAAAAAAAGGGAAGCACGTGCCACACTGGCGAAGATATCTCCACCTCGCTCCAGTCTGATCCACAGCGCAATGGATGGCCTTATCATCCAAAACCAATTGTGAAGACTATGTCTTCACCAGGGGGAGGATGTTCACGCCAGGCAGTAGTGCCGCCTCCGTGGTCAGCTGATACCACTGTCGGCCTTATCAGTGGAGCCGGTTCGGTGACCATCGGTCGGCGGCGGCCCGAACACGTTTTCCGTTTTGTGTGTGTTGTTCGGTCTATTATTTTTTTTAACCTCGGAGTTATAATTTCTCTCGGGTTTTGTTGTAACTGGAATTATCGGTGACCGAGAATGTTGTTTTTTTGTTCGGCGGTATAACATTGCGGTTTGTTTAAAATAACGGTTTTTTTTTGGTTCACGTAATAGAGGATTACCGTGTAATTGGCGAGGCTGAGGCGTATCGCATTGCGACGACCTACAGAACATTTGAAGGCGTCTCGAGTCAGACACGAGTGGAAGACAACAACACCAGGTCGGATCAGTTAAAAATATTTATTGTATTAATAAAATTTATTTGTATGAAACATTGTATAAAGCAGGGGACGCCCAAACTGTTTATTATTATAAGTTGATGTTAAAATATAGTATAATTATTTATTTCCACTGCGTAATTGTGTGAAACAAATACTATGTATAGATTTGCATTATCGGTTTTTTATAATAGTAATTTTATTTACAATCAGATATGTATACATGTCTCAATTGGGCTGGTTTTTGAATTATATATTATTCATAATTTTTCTTGACTTAATCCTTGCTTCTTGAGGTCGACCTTTTAATTAAATATTATTAAAAACTAAATTGTATACATAAAGAAAGGCTGCATTTAGGAATTGTACTACTCGGGGTACTTAATTTTGTTGTCCCCAATAACTTTTTTTTACTTTGCTCATAAAAATAATTTTTCTCTATTTTTTTATTTGAATGAGCCGAAAAAAGTTTTCAATTCAATATTATATTGCTTCATACTTTAGAACTACCTGTGGTAATTTAAATAGTAACCTTCCCTCACTAAATGCTACCTTGACAAGAATACAGAATTTAGATCTTGGCAAAAAAATTTTCATTGAAAATTGTCAATATACAAATGTATCAGAATATTGTAATTTTACTGTATTTTTATAGACATTTATATAGGATAAGGAACTGAAAAAAAAATTTTGGATAACGGTATAGGTTCGGTTTTTATTTTTATAATACTTTCAGTTTTGATATCAGTTAATAACAGTTTAAAAAGATTATAGACTAATTTTCATTAAATTATCTTTTAAGCTACTTACATAATTAAAATGTATGCTGATCTAATAGAAATACAGCAGACCTACTTTATTCAGGAAAATTATTATTTGTAATAATTATTAATCAAATTAATTAAATAAAACATAATTTTACCTTAATTCTTAAGTCAGTGCCTACTGAATTTCTTAAAAAAAAGAATATAACAAAAACGTAAACTAAATTATCTGTGTCAATTTCTTTAATTTCAAAAAATAGTACTTGATAATTTTAAAACAACACTAATTCTATAGCATTTAAGCATTCTAAAAACTATGATTGACAAAATAATTTTAATAGATTTAATCACTTAAATAAAATGTTTTAAGAATGACAACCAAATTTTTTAATTAATTTTATCAAACCCTAGATTTTTATATTCGTTGCTGATGAAATCTTCACAAAATATATATAATTCTACACAAGCCTGTTGACAATTGGAAATAGGATTAGTAAACGAATGAGTAAGATTTGTAGCATTTGCATTTTTCTTGCTAACATCTAAAACGACTTGTTTAGAAAATAAGATTTTTTCGTAATAAAAACAATGCTTATCATGAACTCGCCTTGCATTTCTTAAGTTTGATTGAATACAGAATCTTACATTTTGCGCGTCTGCGAGATAATTATTTGCTACTTCTTTTAAATTTAATATACCGTCAGAAAAGTCATCTCGTAAAAAATTTTTTTCCGTCATCAACTCAAATATATTATTTATTATTTTTTTTATTGGTGACATGCAATAAAATGCTCCATTTTCATGCCATATTGATGCTTTTTTTAATTTTTCCATTGCTGTGTTTAAATAATTTAATAAATCTTGGACACTTTTCATAGTCAGAAAAAAATTACTCACACATTCAATATAACTTTTTCGATTTTCCAATTTGTCTGAGTTATTCTTTTCTTGTTGACTTAAGTCTATAACTCCAGAAAAAATTGTAGTGACATTTTTTAATATGTCATAAAATCTACATCTTAATAGTTGAGTGATATACTGTTTTTTAAGATGAAAATTATTATTATTTGCTTGATCTCTAAGCACTCGGTTTAAACTTATGTCTTGGCCGTTATGATTTATATATAGATAACTCAAAGTATTCCAGTTTCCCTCATTTATAAGAATGTTTAAATTTACTATTCCCTTTTCTTGTGAAACAGGATCAATAAAATGAGGTACAAATAATGATACACATCTATATAAAGAAATAACCAGTTAGAAACATATTATTTACATGTAAACACAAACAATTGGCTTCTGTTTCAAAAATATAAAAATTTCACCAAAAATTACTTGAGTGATTAAATTAAATTTTTTTTAACAGATTTGTAATTTCAATCAAAAGTACTTGGCAAATTAGTTAAAAATGTTGACGATAGTTAAACATAGTTTATACAAATTTGACCTACTTTTGTATAAATTACATTACAATACACATTTTACAAATTTTTGCCCTTATTTCAATAATCTACACTTATACATTTTTTTTGTAAATTTTAACGTCCGTTAAAAAAAAAATTATAAAAAATTATATAGCTTTTATTAAGTACCTTTTATTAAGCATTAGAAAAATGATTCTCACATAGATATCGAACAATTCATGTTTTATTAAACTCTACACATAAATCAAACGAGTCTTGTTTTACACATTATTTGTATAAATTTGACTTTTACATTAGAGGTTCAGTAATTAAACAGTAAAGAATGATTCTTTTAACGCTAGCCACTTAATTCCTCTTAAAATCATAATTATGCGATGAAAGTTTTTTTTTTGATATATATCAAATATAAATACATTTTAAATTCTTCCCTCTTACCTTATAAAAGTGTAACCATCAAATATTAAAAGTAATTCCTACTTTCCCCGTAAATGAAAGAAATCTTTCAAATTATTCCTATTTTTAAAGTTGCTAATTGTTAGTATTTTTAAAACTTTTTAGCTTCGATGAAAATTTGAGAAGGCATTAATTTTACTACGATGTGTTTTTTTTTGTGTCTGTTGCCACTTTTTCTTAGCTTTAACTGGACCGATTTTGATAAACAACATATCATAAGATCACAAATCGTATCTAGTTGAAGACATTAACATTAAAAATTGAAAAAAAAATCCTTGTTCCCCATAAATGAGGAATATCTCCAAAAAATTACGATTTTTATAATCGCTAAATTTTGTCAGTTTTTTTTCTTAGAATTAGCATAACTTTTTCAAAAATTAAGAAATCAATCTAATTTTTTTTTATATTGAAACCTTCTTAGATATTTCCCTTTTATTTGGTATACATTTTTTGAAAATTTGACCCTTTGTGTGACCATAAGGGGGAATCAAAATAGAAACTTCTGCAAAAAAATTTAACTTTTTCAACTTAAGTTAACTTAACTTAAGTTTTGAAAATATATCGGAAATACTCTGAGATTCAAACATATGTTAAAATAAATCTTATGTTATGTACCATAAGTTTAAAAGAAAAAAAACTTTTCTTCTATAAGAAAATGGCCGTCAAATTTAACAAAACTTATAATTTTTATGCAAAAATCACTGTTTAACATAAAATATTTTAATACTTAAAACTGCCATAACTTTTTGAAAAATGAACATCTTAAAATTATTTTTTTATGTTGAAACCTTAGATATTTTTCTTTCATTTGATATAATTTTTTTGAAAATCTCACTCTAAACCTGCCCGCAAGACGAATTCAAAAAAACAATTTTTGCACACAAGTTAAAGTTTTTCAATGTAATTTTTGAAAAATTCTGTAAATATGGACAATTTTATTTAATTTTAAATTAAAGCTTATATTATTATTTAGAATAAAGTTCATAAGACATAAGAAGTTAAATTTATTTAATTTTTTTTGCTTTTTTAAAGTCGAAAAAATAACTTTAAAAATTAAATTAGCTTAAATTTCCAATTTTATAAATCCGCAAAAGCGACGAACAGTTGCCGAATCGGTAACTCTTATGTCTCTCACGGTTAGGGTACCAGGTTCTAATCCGCCTGTGAGATTAATATTTTGCATTTTTTATAAGTTTAAAAAATTTTCAAAGCATTTGATTTTTATCTCATTTAGATTCATTAACTTCAATAATTATCAAGGATCCCATCACTGTAGTCTACCCTCATGAGAAGAAATTTCTTATTCACGTTAATATTATTTTATTATATGTTTCTTTTTGTGGCTGCGATATATTTTTCCAAACCTCAATTAACCTACTTTTTTCAACGATATGTCAAATGATTACAATTCGTATTTAGTTGAAGATATTACCCTCAAAAATTGAAAAAAAATCCCTTAATCAAATAAAATGTACCTTAAACAGCTTTATCAATACAAACAATTGAAATGATTCATTTCTAATATTTTTAATGTATTTATTGTCGAATTAGATTCGATATGATAAAAGTATTTAACTGCAAAAGTAAATAATTTTACTTTGTAATTTATTAATTTTTTAACTCTATTTGTGTTAATATTTTGGAATATTATAGACTGTTAATATTCCCAATGTTTTGGTAACATGATGCTATATATATCACAAATTAAAAAAAAAAAGATTTTTATTTTCACCTGAATTTAACAATCGATTTTTACAATTATAATCAAAATTTATAATTCGCTCAATTAAATATATTATTTTAACAACTTTTTTTTCATTGGTTTTTTTAGTTAAAGTAAATCATTAAAATTAATTCAGATCAGTATATTTCAATTGCAGGATATTTTTAAACACCAAAAGTTATTAGGAAATGATTACTATTATTTCTATTTAAGTTATCTATTACGATAAAAATGCAAAAAAAAAAAAAGGTTAAATATGTCATTTGTTACATTTTATATTACTTATAAATTTACAGTAAATAGTCATAATAAAATTTCCTGAGTGTATATTAATCTTAAAAATATCATTTTTTTCTATTTAATAATGTCAATTTGAAACTTACAAGTTGAGCTATAAGTTATGGTAATAAATTCATTTTTTTTTTATTATAAACTTTCACTTTATAGGGCAAAGAAAAGTAGATTAAGAGTAATTACTTTTAACATATTAAAAATCAAAATCAATAATAATTTGAAAACAATTAATTATAAAAATGATATAATGTCAGATTAAATCTATACTGGACCCAACTATGCCACGTCCCCACTGTGCCGCGACCCCACTATTCGGGGTTTTTTTTTACTTAATAGTGCCATAACTTTATTAAAAATTAAGAAGAAACATTTGTTTTTTATATAAATACTAGGCACTTTTCTTCCTGTAGTTATATTTTATTTAAAAATCTGACTCTTGTGCACTGAAGGGGATTCAAAATTGCTATTTTTACATGAAAAGTTAACCTTTACAACTTACTTTTAACTTAACTTAACTTTTTAATAATATATAATTAAAGCTAATGTTACAACAAAAATTGTTCCAATGATTTATCTTTTATATAAAAATGGTTGCCTTAGTTAAAGAATATATTTGAAAATATTTTATAAAAAATTATTTTTGACAATAGGTTAATTTTGAGATATTTTTTTATACATTTAAAATGGGTTTTTTTCAAATTTTTGACAGGTTTATTTACGTTAAAATTAGGTTCTTTTAAAGTATTAATCATTAAAATTGGTTCAGTAACAGCTGAGAATTTTCATGGACAAACATAAAAAAAAACTCACATCATCACAATACCAATACTTTTATCATATTACCACAAAGAATATTTAAGTCTAATTTATCGATCAAAGTTTTATGGTCAAAAGTTTAATTTTAGAAAAAATACCTGATTGTTTTAATAAATTAATAAATTTGTATTTTAAGTGCTTGACACGGCACCGCCCTACACTTTAAGCTGGCGCTCACTCGTGTCTCTCTCGATATCAGCCGTCCAGCTATTAATATGACAATCGATTGTCTCCCCACCCTTGACGCCGACGAATATACATTACTGATATTGCGGTCTGTTCCGTTTTGGAACACCTTTACTGGTTGCTCCGTTTTTTTGTTTTTTTCTCTAGCCTTTACTAATTTACTGTGTTAATTAGGTTTGTTTCCTTTTTTTCCTTTGGCGATTATTAATAGTGCATTCTTTAACTATTGTATTAATACATATATATTAGGGTGGTCCTTAAAATACAAATTTTCAAAATTCGATTTACGCGCACCAAAAAATTGTTCTAATACATGTAAAAATAAACTGTGCAAAATTTGGTCCCGATAGGTTGACGTTATCACGTGCCGCAAGAGGGTTGAAAATTCGATCAAAAGGGTAGTTTTTCAGTTATTGTGCTTTATCTCAAAATATATGATTTTTACGTAAAAGTTTATAAGAAAGAAATTATACATATAATTATTTTACACAAAAAAGATTATTAGCGAAAACCCCATAAGTCAAATATTTACCTCCTAAAAGTCAAAATTTCCATAAATATTATGTTTACCAGTAAAATTCATATATTTCGGCAATTTAAGTATATACGATGAACCGTTCAAGTTATAAAAAAAATTTTCATGTAAAAGTTATTTGAAATTTAATTTTCTATTAGTTTTGTAGAAAAATAAAATTGTTTTACGTGTTTTCTGGCGAGGTAATAAAGAAAACTTATAAATAACAATCATTTTTCTATGATAATTTAAAAAATAACGATTTTTTTTATTTTTTCAAACTCAAATAAAATAAGTAAACCAATAATGAAATACTAAAAAAAATATGAAAAATGATCTTAATGCTCATAAAATATTATAAAATTAAATAATAATAAAAATAATTCTTCTAGTAGTCACAATATAAAAAAAAATTTTTGTTTTTGACAGGATTATTAATTGTTATTATTGATCAATGAATTTTTAGTACAATCTCCAAATTGTGATCTATAATCATTAACGACTTGTAGTAGAAACTGTTTTTGTTCATCATCATTAGTTAATATTTCATTGTATTCTTGCATACGTTTTACACCTCTCTCTGCTATATCGTTTGTCACAAGAAGATTAGATAAAACTTTCAAACCATTTTGAAAATCAGGATTTTCAACCTAGCTATGAGGATGAGTTTCCAAAAAATCTATCAAGTTCTTTTTTTTTAAATAGTTTAGTATCATTTAGGTTTATTGTAATTTTTTTTATCTTGTTTTTGTGATGTCTCTCTTGATGCCTAAACCATTTTTAGTTTAATATCTGCCGGTAAACTGTCCGGTAAATTTCTGTGTTAC